CTTAGATAGAACTAATGACTTTGAAACAAGGTATAAGCTACGGTTCCCTAAGATACGGCTGAAATGGAAAACAGGCCTAAAATAAGGAAATAGGCGTTAGACTAATGTATTTCGCATTAATTCAAACTTCCAATTAAAACCTGTTAGCCTCATTCTGACGAATAATCATCAACTAATAGCTTTTTGAAATTATATACGGCCGGGTTCTCACGAGGACCATGCAGCCACGCTAATATATAGTTATATTGGTGTCCTATAATTAAAATTTGTAGTTTAGGGCGCAGACCATAGAAATAATAGACATAGAATGCGTACTTATCACGAATACGTGTCCCACATTTTTTTCAAGCTGTGCCCTTATAAATGCGCCATTTTGAATCTCGCGAGGATTGAAAAATCTTTCAAAAAAACTTTTAATTCAAAACTTAAATTTTGGGTAAAGGCATATTTAACAGTCAATTATTAGTACACAGAGGTAAAAATGCCAAACCCAGTTCAGCATTCAGTTGCAGAACAGAAAAAAAAAGAAAAACAGAAAAAGCGACAAGCGATAATCGACAATCGAGAAAGAGTCGATTTTCACCGGCGTTGGCGTTGAGCACACAAACACATACCACCAGCCTATCGCCATATATATATTCATTGTTATTAGGAAATATAGTTAGTAGAGAATAATGTTTATTGTAATAGGTTGTCAATTACTATCGTCTAGCGAATTTTTAAACTGTGCTTTGTTTTTTGAGAATTTTCGCGCTTTTTACATGCAACCGTTTGTTTACATAAATTGTTATTTGGCTTGAACTTGATTATTTGTCCCATGACCTTGCTTTGATGCAACGATAAATGGTTTAAAACCTTTTTGCCTAGCTACGAAAAACATATCACTCTGACTCTGTATAGATTTTTAACAGGTTTCCACGAAAAAACAAGCGATTTCTGCATAAATAGTTGAAGCCGTGGGAAGATAAATGACTATGTCTATGACTATATATTTAATTTCGCTTCTCGTGCATTTTGTGGATAAATAAGAACACATAAAACGAGTTTAATACAATCAAAAACATCATTTAGCGTACCTCAGACCTCAGTACCAGAGGAGATCAAGTGTTAATTATGTACTCCACACTCTAAAAGTTATGCCTTGTCTTTGTGTAGGTAATTTTCATTTTTCACACAATAAATACTGCGTTATATATGTCGACAGCGAAGCAGGATTCCATTATTTCCGTATTATGACTTATGTACGCTTGAAACAAGATTGATCGAAAGCTAGAAAGTAGGAACTGCTATCAGACTCAATCAATCAATTCATGAAACAATGTAGTCAAAACCAAAACCAATTAATGCTCCTGTGCGTGATAAAACAAAAATAAAAACAAGCTTTTCTCTCAAACTCACTCATATATATAATTATAGTGATATATCTCGCTCGTCGCGACCGCGCACAAAAAAAATTCCCCGCAGGCACAGAATACCTAACAGAAGTGGAACCAATGAGTGGAACTCTATACTATTTTTTCGTAAGTGTGATTCGTCATGATTCGTCACTTAGCAAGTGCATTTTTTTGAGGTAGTCACCCCCCTGCCAATGTTTAAAATCAACGCATATTTAGTATTGGCAGGGGGGTGACAGCCTCAAAAAAATGCACTTGCTAAGTGACGAATCATGACGAATCCATAGAGATTATAAATAACACTAGAGGAGTCATCGAGGAGAAATTGGGGAGCGCGTTAATGGGGGGCAAATCCAAGTCCTGGATGTTCACTCATTCACGATGTCCGAGGCCAAAATAAGTCGTTTTTAACGAGTTTTTTTTACTTCTAAAAGTTTTTTTGCCTAAAATATCGTTTCAGGATGTCTAAATTAGTAGAACCAGTATCAAAAAGCACTGTTTTTCCTTAAAAAACCGGCAAAGCGACCTAAATAACGAATATATTTTTTTTAAAATTGTTGCTAACGTGGTTGCTAAGGAGGCATTGATCTAGCCAATCAGCGCTTGGCTTAGCATCCGGGACTTGAATTTGCCCCCCATTATCGCGCTCCCTTTTTTGACTGATGTTTCCGATACCAATGCCTCCTCTAGTGTTATTTATAATCTCTATGGACGAATCACACTTACGAAAAAAGTACAGGAGTTCCACTTCTGTTAGGTATTCTGTGCCGCAGGAGTCTGAATTCTGCGGATTCCCCGCAGGAGTCTGAAACGAGGAAAAATGCCCTTATAAATCCGCCATTTTTGGAGACAAATTTTTATAAGGGAAGAGGTATCAGTACGCATTCTATGTCTATTATTTCTATGGCGCAGACTTAGCTTCTCTCGAAGAGCTATATAGCGTGATGAATATACAAACACGTATAGTTTTTAGGAATTAATCAACATTTAAATCTAGGTCAAGGCACTGGGTCAGGGCAACATATTATAGGAGAGTTACTTTTACCTGAATAAAAATTAAATTGAATATGAGAACGAACTGTATACTGAAAAAACCCAATTTCAAATATCTTCTAGGGAATTTTAATGTCTTTTCTAACATTCAGTAACTAAAAACCTTCCAAGCCTTCGTTATCATATGTGTGCGTTCGTAAAAGACCGAAAATAAAAAAACTAACATCTACACTGAAAATAATCCAGTTCTGCGACATTAATTTTGTGATTGTCAAGTAAATGCAAACTCTATCTATATTAACTTTGCGATGGCGTCAATAAATGCGGAACTGCAAGTCGACAAACCATTTCATTATTTTGCAAAATAATTTCCCTTCACCTTTGTCGAAGTATTCTTATAAGTTTATTGTTGACTAAACCAAGGAACATACTCAAACTCATAATCACTCTTGACGAAGACCCTTATTATATCTAAACGCTGGGCAGTTGCCTTTCCATTTAATAAGAAGCTACTTGAAGACGCTTCCATGCTGTCCTTTGGTTATTCTGCATCCATGTTGTTGTTTTTACACAGAATGTTTCCGTGTTTATAAGTAATATAGGTTGTCTACTTAATTGATCGAATCGATCGTTTGACAGCAAATTGATCTCAAACTTTGCAGATCTAGTTTTTCACAGCATTCTGCGATTTCTATTATATATATACTGTATATAATTTAATATAATATATTGTATCGGTTTTGGAATAATTAGCTTTCGGTCAAGAATAATTAGCTTCCCTTACCGTGATATGGTTCTTGTTGTCTTCAAAAATAGGATTATACAAAGTTATATTTACATGCATGTATATTATATTATATACGCCATGTATATGGGTGTAATTCTCTATAAGATGACACGCACTGCCGGAAATGGGAAGCAAACTGTGGGTAAATTAAGCAATCTGCACGAAACAAGTGATGTAGATTTACAATAGTGTGCCAAAGGAGCAAACCGACTGTGACTCGAGAGCCATCGAAACACTTCATTCTGTAAACACCGCGGCTAACGAGTGCAAGCGCAAAGTTGACGAACAGAAAATCGTGACCCCACCCAAACCGAAAACTCAGGAATGCCAGTACACGTTCATGTTTTCCACCTGCGTGTCACACGTGGGATGTCCGGACTCAAAACAAAACAAAAATCTACCAAATCCGAAGCAAAAAACAAGAATGAGAACTGTGTTTGGACAGACGACAAGCTTGAACTCCTTCTAAATGTTGTTGTAGAGTATATGAACAATTGTGCATAACCATGCAAATACTTCGACGTATAAAAAATACTTTCTCAGCAAAGAAAATAACTCACAATGAAAATAACCTATAAAATAAGACTCCAACTCAATAAGACTCGTTTGACGCTAATATATAGTAATATATTTCCTCCAGAATACGTAATTTTCACGTCGTCTTTGACGTTCACGTCCTCATGCTAAATCTCCCTAATCTTAATACAAAGAAAGAATGCTAATAACAACAAGCATCCTAAAAAGAATGCTAATAACAACAAGCAGGAGGCGTTCATGTGGTAGAAGGCCCAGATAAAATGTATTTTCGTAAGACAGCTATTTGTCTTCGGTGTGAAGCCATCATGGCGTTATACAACGCAACATTTAACTGCAAACAAACAATTATGTTTGCTAGAAGCACGAGAAACTTCATATCGTGCTCGTCCGCCATGTTTGGTTGGAATTATGCCGCGGATAACTACTTAAGACCTAAAATGAGTGGCAATCACTGGTGGCAATCGATGCGTGTGACGTAATCGTTTTCAAAGTGTGAACACTTGTGCGCTCTGCTCTCCTTAAAGGAAGTTTAATTTCGTGAACATATTGATTATATTCTTTTAACTTTCTATAATTTATATTCTATAAACTTTTAACTTACATTATTATATTATATAAACTTTTAACTAACCGCGGTTCTAAATATTTTTAGGAATAATTCTAGACTTTATAATTCTAGACTTACATCCTAACATGACTCTTAATTAATTGCTTATTTTATTCACAAATAAAACTTAAGTTTTATTTACATGCATATATACGTCATGTAGCTATAATTTCCTATAGTGAAGGGAATAGGATTTAGACTAGTGTAGTCAAACCAGTTTCTGTATTAACTCAAGCATTTATTCGACAACTGGGAACCTCACTCTAATCATTAGGCAATAACTTTGAAATTATATACGGCGACAAAGACCAGTTATGCTAAAGATGCTGGTGTAATTAAATTTTTATCATTGTCTTTTGAACGCAGACTTTACTTTTCTCGAAGAGCTACATAGTTTGATAAATACAAATGTATAGTTTTTAGGAATTAATCAACATTTAAATCTGTAGTCAGACCACCATACTAGGATAATTACTTATATCTAAGCTAAATTATGAGAACGAATTGTACCAAAAAAAAAATTCTGCGGAAATTTGCACCTGTTAAATTTTGCTCCCTATTGACATTTTGAGTCGCATGCAATTTATTTACCAATAAGTCGGCGCTTCTTAAGGGAGTTTAATATCTTGAATATATGACCCTTCACATTATGCAAGGTTGCAAGTGCTTTTTGCGTGTAGCTTCAGGCAATGCCTATTTTTCCATATTCTCAAACATTCGGCCTTTTTCGTCCACGACACTTCACGACCCATCCTAGAGCCTTACGAAAGTTCCTGTGTCTCCACGCATAAATAAATGGGTTGAGAACACTGTTCAGACACATTGCGGGCTCGGATGTTCGGCTCAAGAAATAATAGAAGTTAGATTTACTGCAGGATGTGCAGAAAAATTTCAAATGAATGAAAACAGCGTAAGGCGAATACGCTAGAAAAAAGAGCAATAAGATGAAGAATATTGTCACCAAAAGCCGCTTGTCAGATTTCATTCTTTTAATGTTTTCTTTAGTTGCATTGTCTATATTTTCCATAGATGTGACTTCTTTCAGTTTCCGCCTTTTCTCTGTCTTCAAGTTGGAGTATATGAAAGCAAATAAGAGAGTCAATGAGAAAAATGAGAAAGTTAGATGTAGATGTGTATCCAGTAAGATATAGGCTTTGTCAGACATTCCCATCAGAGGAATTGTGCAGAAAAATCCACAGTAAATCCACGAAATGGCCACAATAAGTGCAGCTGATTTTAGTGTCATAACTCGACGATACAGGAAAGGTTTTTTAATGGCCACACTTCGGTCGATGATGAGTATTACTATTGTGACTATACCGTTGGTGACCGTTAAATAAGCGTTGTAGTAAAAAACATGGAGTATTTTCAAGTAATGCTTGTTTTGATAAATACCAAAATGGTAAACAGCAAGCAATGGATCCACAACAAGTCCTGTCAACAAATCAGCGACTGCGAGGTTTGCTACAAATACTATTGGTACGTTACGAAGACATTTGTAAGGATCGTAACAGATGGCAGTTAGAAGTAGTGCGTTGGCAATTATTGTAGCAAGAGATATTACCAGCAGTAGAATACCAATCGTTAGCGAAAGATCTCTCTGAAATGTCGTATATTCTGTTGAACTGTTGTTTGATTCCATCATTCCATTCAGTGCTGTTCTTTAATGTTCTTATTTATTGTCCTGTAATTAAAAAAAACTCGTGACATCTTTAGAACTTGGTTTATGCATTATGCATGCATTTAGGATATTTTCCTGACTATATATAGTCACATAAATAGTTAAAAACGTCACATCAAATGCGCATTACCAGCTGTGTGAAATACACAAAAAAAAACATCACAGCCAGTTTGGACCTTTCCTTTCGTCACACTATAATTCTCCTTAATACAAAATTGCATATACGCGTTTAAAGGATAATAATTCCTTGGTGAAGGACTAGACGTTCAGTTAGACAAATGTATAATCAAACCCTTCTACCCGCGGTAACCTCATGAATCATTAGATTTTCGACATTAGTAACGGGCTCTCACGAGGACTATAGTCATGCTAGCGTTATATATGCATGCCGAGTTTACACTACGTTCTTTGACCAGACCTGGACCAGGGCTAGGTCTATAGGCGTAAACGTTGTTTACCTGGCCTAGACCAAGCCTGGACTAGGTTTAGGCCACAAAGTCAAGGGGCCGGTTGTATCAAGCCCGTTTAGCTTAAACGGTGGTTACGTTCAAAATAGAAAGCCATGCAGTCTATCGTTTTATTGAACAAGCTAAATGTTTTTACCCTTATTACAAATTAAGATACTGTCTACAACTACATATTCAGTGCATGATATTCAAGTTGACTCATTCAAGAGAGATGTAGAGTGTTATTTAATTTTAACTTATCCAGTCAGCAGAAGAAGGTGGTCTGGAGGCCTGGACTGGACCTGTACCGATTTTTGTAACGTGAACGGGATTTAGCGTGTTTGGGGTGTTGTGCTAGACCTGATCTGGGCCTTTAGTGTAAACACGGGTATAGATTTTTGTTGTTGTCTTGGAATGCGCGCTAGCCTCTAAAATTTAAAACCGTACCCATGCACTATATCAGTTAAGAGAATTACCTGCAAATCTCGTGGACGTTAATATCTTCAGAATTTCTTACTTTAGTTTTGTGCTAAAATCGATCTAATTTTTCATAGCATCAGTTCTTGGATCGCTATTATGAAACAAAGTTCCTGCATATTATATCAGATACGGTATATTTTTTATCATCATTATATAATAATTTTTAAAAAATATTTTAAGATTAAATCTAAGCTTTCTTTACCGTGATATTGCTCTTGTGGTTTTCAAGAGTGCAAGGCATTCACTTTTATGCAAGTTCTATCTGCATGTACGCCACGTAGCTGTATGTAGTTCTCTATATAGTGAAGCCGCAATGGCGTTATAATGTATTATATAGTTAAACCAGTTTCTGTATTTCTTCAAACATCCAATTGAGAATATAGGAAAGCCTCATTCTGGAGAATCATTAGTCAATAGCTTTTTGAAATTATATACGGGTTCTCGCGAAGATCAATCATGCTAATATATATAGTTATACTCTGGTGTCCTATAAATGAATTTTGTTATTGTTTTATAGGACTTAGTTTGTCACGAAGTGCTAGATATAGCTTGAAGAATAGAAATAGCTACATAGTTTTTGGGAATAAGCAACATTAAATCTCTGGTCATACCACCATATTACGATAATTACTTTTATTTAAGCTGAGCCTGAATTATGAGAACAAACTGTACCATTAAACAAAATGCTCCGGAAATTTGCACCTGTTACATTTTACAACTTCTTGACATGCATGATGATTTTGAATCGCAATTTGTGCGCTCTTAAACGTTTTACAAAATAATCTAGTCTGTCCTCCTTAAAGAAAGTTTAATTTCATGAACATATTGATTATATTCTTTTAACTCTCTATAATTTATATTCTATAAACTTTTAACTTATAACTTTTATATTCTATAAACTTTTAACTTTCCAACCAGTTCTAACCAGTTAAATATTTTTAGGAATAAGTCTATAGACTAGACAAAATGTTTCCGTGTTTATAAGTAATATAGGTTGCATGTCTACTTTATAATATCTTCATGATTTCTCACTTTAGTTTTGTGCTAAAATCGAACTAATTTTTCATAGCATTCTGCGATCGCTATTATGAAACAAAATTCATGCATACTATATCGGATACGGTCTATTTTTTTATCAACAGCATATAATAATTTTTAAAAAATATTTTAAGAATAAATCTAAGCTTTCCCTACCGTGATATTGCTCTGTTTGTTTTCAAGAATGCATGCAATTTATTTTTATGTAAAGTTCTATCTACATGTACGCCATGTAGCTGTATGTAATTATCTATAGTGAAGCCGCAATGGCGTTATAATGTAGTCAAACCAGTTTCTGTGTTTCTTCAAACATCCAATTGAGAATAGGAAAGCCTCATCCTGACGAATCATTAGCCAATAGCTTTTTGAAATTACATACGGGTTCTCCCGAAGATCAATTATGTTAATACAGTTATACTCTGGTGTCCTATAAATAAATTTTGTTATTGTTTTAGGACTTAGCTTGTCACGAAGTGCTACATAGCTTGAAGAATACAAATACATAGTTTTTTGGAATAAGCAACATTTGAATCTCTGTCAGATCCTCATATTACGATAATTACTTTTATTTAAGCTGAGCCTGAATTATGAGAACAAACTGTACCATTAAACAAAATTTTCCCGAAATTTACACCTGTTACATTTCACACCTTCTTGACATGATGATTTTTAATCGCAATTTGTGCGATCTGCTCTCCTTAAAGGAAGTTTAATTTCGTGAACATATTGATTATATTCTTTTAACTTACTATAATTTATATTCTATAAACTTTTAACTTATATTATTATATTATATTAACTTTTAACTTTCTAACCGCGGTTCTAAATATTTTTAGGAATAATTCTAGACTTTTCTTACATCCTAACATGACTCTTAATTGCTTATTTTATTCACAAATAAAACTTAAGTTTTATTTACATGCATATATGCGTCATGTAGGTATAATTTCCTATAGTGAAGGAATAGGATTTAGACTAGTGTAGTCAAACCAGTTTCTGTATTAACTCAAGCATTTATTCGAGAACTGGGAACCTCATTCTAATCATTAGGCAATAACTTTTCAAAATTATATACGGCGACAAAGACCAGTTATGCTAAAGATGCTGGTGTAATTAAATTTTTATCATTGTTTTTTGAACGCAGACTTTACTTTTCTCGAAGAGCTACATAGTTTGATAAATACAAATGTATAGTTTTTAGGAATTAATCAACATTTAAATGTGTAGTCAGACCACCATACTAGGATAATTACTTATATCTAAGCTAAATTATGAGAACGAACTGTACCAAAAAAAAAATTCTGCGGAAATTTGCACCTGTTAAATTTTGCACCCTATTGACATTTTGAGTCGCATGCAATTTATTTACCAATAAGTCGGCGCTTCTTAAAGGAGTTTAATATCTTGAATATATGACCCTTCACATTATGCAAGGTTGCAAGTGCTTTTTGCGTGTAGCTTCAGGCAATGCCTATTTTTTCATATTCTCAAACATTCGGCCTTTTTCGTCCACGACACTTCACGACCCATCCTAGAGCCTTACGAAAGTTCTTGTGTCGCCACGCATAAATAAATGGGTTGAGAACACTGTTCAGAGACATTGCGGGCTCGGATGTTCGGCTCAAGAAATAATAGAACTTGGATTTACTGCAGGATGTGCAGAAAAATCCCAAATGAATGAAAACAGCGTAAGGCGAATATGTTAGGAAAAAGAGCAATAAGATGAAGAATATTGTCATCAAAAGCCGCTTGTCAGATTTCATTCTTTTAATGTTTTCTTTAGTTGCATTGTCTATATTTTCCATAGATGTGACTTCTTTCAGTTTCCGCCTTTTCTCTGTCTTTAAGTTAGAGTATATGAAAGCAAATAAGAGAGTCAATGAGAGAAATGAGAAAGTTACATGTAGATGTGTATCTAGTAAGATATACGCTTTGTCAGACATTCCCATCAGGCGGAATGTGCAGAAAAATCCAGAGTAAATCAGGAATTATATTATAGATCAGTGCTGTTTCCCGACTGGGATATCCTTATATAGAGTTGTTGACGTATTAAAATTCTAAAATGGCTTGCAGAATTTAAGATTTTTATAGTTTATTCATTAAATTTGTTGTATTTTTTTGTGTTTTATAAAGTTGAAAAAGTCAAGGTTAAAAAATAGACACGTTTCACGTCTCGGTCTCAAAAACATCCCTCGGCCAACGGCCTCGGGCCGTTTTCGAGACCTCCGGCACAGTTTTTTGCATCCGGACCGAAGCTGCCGATAAATAACATATATGTAGTAACGTTAATAACCTAGCCATCATATCTTGGGCTTCAATGTAAATTCTTTACTTCCGCGTCATATTGATTTGGTGCGTTTTTATGCTAAAGATAAAATGCATGTCTGCGAATTTTTCAGACTTTTTTTTAATCATTTTTAACACAATTTTGTGCTCGCTATTATAAACGTTGGTTATTTTATCGGATTTGAGTTATTTTCTTCAATAGAATATATATAAACGTCCTAAAATGTAGCTACTACAATATCATATTAGGAATAATTTTGCATGTATACTTTCCCTACCGTATAATGGCAAAAGCTCCTGCTCTATTCAAGATTAGGGTTCACTTTTGTACAAGTATATATTCCAAGCAGCTGTTATACTCGGGAATGACTAGGCATGCAATTAGACTAATGACAAGAAACCAGCTAGTATATGCACGCATTAATTTGAACATCCAATTAAAGCCCTTATTCTGATGCAATATTAGCCTCATTCTAATGAAATATTAGCCAATTGTTTTTCCGGCGAAATTGCTAGTGGGTTTTCATGATGATTAGTCATGCTAATATAGTTATTGGTCTCCTGATTGAGTTATTGCTATTGCCTTGGGCAAACACTTCTCACCTTTTCACGAAGAGCTACATAGCCAACCTCGCAAGCCAGGCTTTTTTATCTACGCTCCAGGCGAAAACCCTGTTCAGGACTGGTCATGTGACAGCGCAAAATCTTCTAATTTTTAATTATAGCACTTAGTTCATCTCTAAGGGAAGGGTGGCGAAGTCAATATGCCACTTCTGCTTTTTTAGCACTTGTGACAGTCCAGGTCGCTTTGTACTGCCGCCACGCAATATACTAAAATTAGCGGTTCGCAAAATAAATAAATACAGGACATGTTGTAAAAACTGCGCTGGACTTTGGATCATTTTTAAAATTCGTCATCTATAGATTTTCGTATTGTCTTACTTCACGACCCATCCCTGAGCCTTAGGAAAGTTGTTGTGCTCTTCTTTAACATTGCAATAATTTCTTATTTTTAACAATTTTTACGATGAATAATTGTATACTTTACTACAAAATTACTTTAACTACGCGGGTATTGTTAAAACCTAATACATTTCATTTAAAGTCCATGACATGTTCAATAAATTAGCACAATCATACTGAAGCTTTTTATTAAGTTATTTCAAGAGCATCTTATGAAACTCGTTCCTTTGATATCTTCCAGGCTCTGTCTTGAAAAATATTGACGAAAGACACAACAAAACTAAGTCTATTCTAATGTTTAAAGTATTTAATAACCACACTGCTCCCAACCTAAGGGCGTCCTTTATTCGAATGAATGATATTCAGAATAACTGATTTGATTATCCCTAAACCTAAGAGCGAATATGTCAGTTAAAAAAAACTTTTAAGTATAGTGGAGCTTTTACATGGAATTCGCTCTCTACAGATGCAAAGCTATCAACTACTTTAAGTGCTTTTAAAAGGGATCTTGAAGCCTAGTTTGATCAATACCTATTATCAAAGACCTTCTAAGAAACCTTCCATTCAAACTGAAAGTTTTATTTTTTTTGTAAATATGTTTTATCTCTGTGACGCTTCTTAGGAAGAACATCAATTTAATGGTGATGAGAAATTAATGCGTCATTAAATAAATTGTTTATGTATATGTATGCATGCATGTATGTCAACTAAACATCGAAACTTTATGATCAATTAACCAATGAACTGTATAGTGAGAAATCATGACAATCCTTTATTGTATGACTGTTAAGTAATTCTGAGTGTATTTGGTTTCTTCAAAGCTTTAGTATTGTCGTATTTGTACACAAAGCCGGGTCTCGAATTGAACATTGAAAGTTCAGGTATTTTGTAGTGAATTTTGACGTTTCTTTTCACACTCATCACTAAGAACAGACTGAATCATGATACATAAGCACCATTCGCTTTATTCTCAGGACTCTCACATCATGTTGTTGAAAAATCCTTAGATACGGGGCAAAAATTCTTTAAATTGCCTATGATCTTCTAAAAATCGTGACCTACACGGGGTCATGATATTTGAGATCCGGAAACTAGTGTAAAAAGGCGGGAATGGGACTATGGGAAGATGAAAAACCCCCGAAAGAAGGGTGAAAACCAAACTGTACAAGCAAAAATTTCGTTTCATATGTTATTAAACAGTCATACTCGTAATAAACAAGTAACTTAATTATTTAAATAAGTTATTTGTTTAGATAAAATTAGATTGTGTGAAGACTGAAGAGACCTTAATAAGAACAGTTTTCATTGGCTCCCTTTGTTCAATCTTGTATTTTTGAAATATTTTGTGAACTTCGGATTAAAAATCAGAATTCCTTAGAAATTCATTAATAACATATAATTCCTTAAACAATTCTTTAAAAAACCAAAAAAGGTTGAAATTTCCTTAGTAATAATTTCCTTAAAAGAGTGAGACGCAATATAAAACTGGACACCCTGTTTTATGCCTAGGTTGGCTATTCATTCATGCTCAAGACACCACTTGCTTCTCAGCGGTTTTGTTCCATATTTTCTTAAACAACATTTCGTCTACTGCACTTCACGACCCATCCTAGAGCCTTACGAAAGTTTCTGTGTCTCCACGCATAAATAAATGGGTTGAGAACGCTGTTCAGATACACTACAGGCTCGCATGTTTTGCTCAAGAAATAATAGAACTTGGATTTACTGCATGATGTGCAGAAATATTCCAAATGAATGAAAACAGCATAAGGCGAATATGTTAGGAAAAAGAGCGATAAGATGAAGAATATTGTCACCAAAAGCCGCTTGTCAGATTTCATTCTTTTAATGTTTTCTTTAGTTGCACTGTCTATATTTACCACAGATGTGACTTCTTTCAGTCTTCGCCTTTTCTTTGCCTTCAAGTTGAAGTATATGAAAGCAAATAAGAGAGTCAATGAGAGAAATGAGAAAGTCGCATGTAGATGTGTATTCAGTAAGATATACGCTTTGTCAGACATTCCCATTAGGCGAAATGAGGAGAAAAATCCGGAGTAAATCCACGAAATGGCCACAATTATTGCAGCTGAATTTAGTGTCATAACTCGACGATACAAGAAAGGTTTTTTAATGGTCACACTTCGGTCGATGATGAGTATTACTATTGTGACTATAGCGTTGTTGACTGTTATATAAGAGCCGTAATCACCAATTTCTAGTGTTTTCGAGTAATATTTGTTTTGATAAATACCAAAATGGTAAACAGCATACAATGGATCCACAACAAGTCCTGTCAACAAATCAGCGACTGCGAGGTTTGCTACAAATACTATTGGTACGTTACGAAGACATTTGTAAGGATCGTAGCAGATGGCTGTTAGGCCTAGTTCATACGTCGCATTTTGGTCGCGTCGAATGCAATTCAAACAATAGATAATGAGATGATAAGCCTCATTTAGCCTCATTTAGCCTCATTACCATCTCATTATCTATTGTTTGAATTGCATTCGACGCGACCAAAATGCGACGTATGAACTAGGCCTTAGAAGTAGTGCGTTGGTAATTATTGTAGCAAGCGATATTACTAGCAGTAGAATACCAATCGTTAGCGAGAGAACTCTCTGAAATGTCGTATATTCTGTTGAACTGTTGTTTGATTCCATCATTCCATTCGTGCAGTGCTGTTCTTTAATGTTCTTATTTATTGTCCTGTAATAAAAAAAAACTATTGACATCTTTAGAACTTGGTTCATACATTATGCATGAACTGAAGGATATTTGCCTGACAATAATAACATAAATAGTTGAAAACGTGACATGAAATGCGCATTACCAGCTGTCTAAAACATACAAAAAAACTTCACAGCCAGTTTGGACCTTTCCTTTCGTCACCCTATAATTCTCCTTAATACAAAATTGCATGTACGTTTAAAGGATAATAATTCCTTGGTGAAGGACTAGACGTTCAGTTAGACAAATGTATAATTAATCAAACCCTCCTACCCGCGGTAATCTCATCGTAATGAATCATTAGATTTTCTCACGACATTACGTTCTTTGACCAGGCCTGGACCTGGACCAGGTCTAGGCCTATAGGCGTTTGAACGTTGTTTACCTGGCCTAGACCAAGCCTGGACCTGGTCTATATAGGCCACAAAATCCAGGGACCGGTTGTATCAAGCCCGTTTAGCCTAAACGGTGGTTACGTTCAAAATAGAAGAAAGCCAGTCTATCGTTTTATTCAACAAAGCTAAATTTTTTTACCCTTAATACAAATTAAGATACTGTCTACAACTACATATTCAGTGCATAATATTCAAGTTGAATCATTCAAGGGAGATGTAGAGTGTTATTTAATTTTAACTTATCCAGTCAGCAGAAGAAATTGGTCTGGACCAGGCCTGGACCTGTACCAATTTTTGTAACGTGAACGGGATTTAGCGTGTTTGTGGTGTTTCCCAAGTATTTTGTCACGATGTTGTCTATACATTTTTGTTTTTGTCTAGGAATGCGCGCTCGCCTTTAAAATGTAAAACCGTAGCTACCATCAGTTAAGAGATTACCTACAATTAACGCAAACTTGTACAATTTGTACGTCTTGTTTTCTGGCAAATCTTAGAATATGTACGTCTTGTATTCTGGCAAATCTCGTGGACTTTAATATCTTCATAATTTCTCACTTTAGTTTTGTGCTAAAATCGATCTAATTTTTCATAGCATTCTACGATCGTTATTATGAAACAAAATTCATGCATATTATATCGGATACAGTCTATTTTTTTATCAACAGCATGCATATAATAATTTTAAAAAAATATTTTAAGAATAAATCTAAGCTTTCCCTACCGTGATATTGCTTTTGTTGTTTTCAAGAATGCATGGGATTCACTTTTATGCCATGTTTCATGCCATGTAGCTGCATGTAACTCTCTGTAGTGAAGCCCGAATGGCGTTATGATGCAGTCAAACCAGTTTCTGTATTACTTCAAACATCCAATTGAGAATAAGAAAGCCTCATTGTGACGAATCATTAGCCAATAGCTTTTTGAAATTATATACGGGTTCTCGCGAAGATCAATCATGCTAGTGTCCTATAATTAAATTTTGTTATTGTTTTAAGACTTAGCTTGTTACACCATATTTCGATAGTTATTTTATCCAAGCTGAGCCTGAATTATGAGAACGAACTGTACCATTTAACAAAATTCTCCGGAAATTTACACCTGTTACAGTTTACACCCTCTTGACATGATGATTTTGAATCGCAATTTGTGCGCTCTTAAACGTTTTACAAATCTAGTCTGCACTCCTTAATAGAAGTTTAATTTCGTGAACATATTGATTATATTCTTAGATACTATAAACTTTTAACTTTCTAACCGGTTCTAATCGGTTAATATTTTTAGGAATAAGTCTAGACTTTCCTTACCGTAATATGACTCTTAATTGCTTGCGTAACATGCACATACGTCATGTAGGTGTAATTTTTCATAATGAAGGAATAGGCGTTACACTAATGTATTCAAACCAGTTTCTTTATTCACTGCATGAAACATTTAATTGAGACCTGGGAGCCTCACTCTAATCATTAGGCAATAACTTTTCAAAATTATATACGGCGACAAAGACCAGTTATGCTAAAAATAATGGTGTAATTAAATTTTTGTCATTGTCTTGAACGCAGACTTTGCTTGTCTCGATGAGCTACATAGTTTGATGAATACAAATGTATAGTTTTTAGGAATTAATGAACATTTAAATCTGTAGTCAGACACCATACTAGGATAATTACTTACATCTAAGCTAAATTATGAGAACGAACTGTACCGAAAAAAAATAATTCCCCGGAAATTTGCACCTGTTACATTGTGCATCCTATTGACATTTTGAATAGCAATTTGTGTGCTTTAAACGTTTTACCAATAAGTCGGCGCTTCTTAAGGGAATTTAATATCTTGAATATATGACCCTCCACATTATGCAAGGTTGCAAGTGCTTTTTGCGTGTAGCTTCAGGCAATGCCTATTTTTTCATAATCTCAAACATTTGATCTTTTTCGTCCACGGCACTTCACGACCCATCCTAGAGACTTACGAAAGTTCCTGTGTCTCCACGCATAAATAAATGGGTTGAGAACGCTGTTCACTTACACTACGGCCTCAGATGATTGGCTCATGAAATAATAAAACTTGCATGGATTTACTGCATGATGTGCAGAAATATTCCAAATGAATGAAAACAGCGTAAGGCGAATATGTTAGGAAAAAGAGAGATAAGATGAAGAATATTGTCACCAAAAGCCGCTTGTCAGATTTGATTTCCTGAAGTTTTTCTCTAGTTGTGTTGTCTATATTTTCCACAGATGTGACTTCTTTGAATTTCCGCCTTTTTTCTGTCTTCAAGTTGGAGTATATGAAAGCAAATAAGAGAGTCAATGAGAAAAATGAGAAAGTTACATGTAGATGTGTATCCAGTAAGATATACGCTTTGTCAGACATTCCCATCAGGCGGAATGTGCAGAAAAATCCAGAGTAAATCCACGAAATGGCCACAATTATTGTAGCTGATTTTAGTGTCATAACTCGACTATACAAGAAAGGTTTTTTAATGGCTATTAAACACACTTCGGTCGATGATGAGTATTACGGTTGTGACTACAGTATTGTTGACTGTGGTAAAAGCGATGTAGTGAGAAACATTTTGTATTTTCAAGTAATGCTTGTTTTGATAAATACCAAAATGGTAAACAGCAAGCAATGGATCAACAGCAAGTCCTGTCAACAAATCAGCGACTGCGAGGTTTGCTATGAATATTATTGGTACGTTACGAAGACATTTGTAAGGATCGTAGCAGATGGCAGCTAGAAGTAGTGCGTTGGCAATTATTGAAGCAAGAGATGTCACCAGCAGCAGAATACCAATCGTTAGGGAGAGAACTCTCTCAAATGTCGTATATTCTGTTGAACTGTTGTTTGATTCCATCATTCCATTCAGTGCTGTTCTCTAATGTAGACCTGTATAATTAAAAAAATAGTGATATCACAAGGCTTTGAGACTGGGGTTCATGCACGATGGAAGGTATGATAATAGACACATCTAAATATATTAGGCAATTGTCTGACGTTTTTTTACAAGAAAACCTTTACACTAACTGTCTTGATTACAAAATATTATGTAATATATTTCACCTGCTGTAAATCCGCATGCAGTAACTTCAGTTTCCGCGATGTCGGAAGAATTTGAAAACGCAAAAATATTTCTCCGTTATTATATTTATTTGCATATGTCACACGTAAAAACAAAAACGTTTCAGAAACGCTTCAGTATTTAAGTGATCCCACAATGGGATCTTGACCACTTGGGATGTTGAATTCAAAACAAAAATCTACCAAACCCAAAGGAAAAAACAAGAATAAGGACTTTGTTTGGACAGACGACAAGCTTGAACTCCTTCTAAATGTTGTTGTTGAGTATACAATGATTAATTGTCGTGTACAAAAAAATTGTGTATAACCAAATACTCCGACATTCTGGTTTCTCGCGTGAAAATCCTTCCTCGGCATGCAAGGATTGGCGAAAATTTCACACACAATTAAAATAGCCTAAATAAGATAAGACTCAACCTGAATAAAACTCTAATATATATAGCAATATAAAAATGAACTGATAAGGGTGGATTTCCACTTATAGAGCACTGAATATAGTTCGCCAGCGAAATATTTGCATATTTTCTTTTGAATTGAGAACATTTACGCCTGCGGTATTCAAAAAGCTCACTCACACTCACTGCGTGTGAGTGTGACATAGAAATCCCACTTAATCAGTTTGAGTGTGAGTGAGCTTTTAGAGTAAGCTACTACAGGCGATAGTCATGTTGAATTTATGCCGCTAAAATTATAAAGAAAACTGATATGCATCTATTTTGCTAGTGAACTATTTCCTACAGTGTGAAAATTCAACCTAAGCCACAATGCTTGAAAGAAACCTCATTTATATGGAACGATATGATACGTTACTTTGCGTCATCGTTTCGGCAAAGCCGTTCACATGAAGTTACCATGAAAGCCGTTCACAGAAAGTTACCATGCATGCACGATGCCGGAAGAATTTGCGAAAATGCAAAAATACCTAAAATATTTATCCGCGCGTCCACATGCAAACACAAAAACGCTAAAGTTATTTGAACCCGCAGTACACCTCCATGTTTTCAACCTGCGTGTCACACGTGGGATGTCCGAACTCAAAACAAAACAAAATGTTGAGTATATGCCGGAACAATTGTGCATAACCATGCAAATACTCCGACATATAGAAAATACTTTCTCAGCAAAAAAAATAACTCACAATGAAAATAACCTTTAAAATAAGGACTCCAACTCAATAAGACTCATTTGACGCTAATATATAGTAATATATTTCATCCAGAATACGTATTATCAGAAGGGTGACTTATTTTCCTGCCTTCAAATTTTCCCAAAATGTACACGTCATGCACACGCTATGAACTGATGGCTGCCTGTGAATTTTTTATTATTTCTGCCATTTCACATGGCAAAGAGCATATAAAATGACAAATGACGAATATCACGCAATATCACGCAATAAACACTTGCCAGCAAGATGGCTGTATGGGGCATTTTTATTACTCCGGGGCCGGTTGTTCAAAAGCCGGTTAACTTAACCCAGGGTTAACGCAAATTTTTACATCATTTTTTTTCATCACTTGTTCATAAAAGTTGAATATTTTTACCATGGGTATTTTCTGGTTCAATAGAAATCTTATTTTGTAAAGTCAGTTTGAAACAAGCGGCGGTGTAGAAGCACGTAAACTAAAACAGCGGATTAAAATTTAACCCAGGGCTAGCGCTAACATAGCTTTGAACAACAGGGCCCTGCTGATGGACATCTGTCCATCTTTTATCTATGCATGGTATAGCTCTGGGTGTAGCCTAAAGGCTGCTTTAATTCCACTGTCGCGTTTTTTGCACGCGCGTAAAAGCTTAAAACCTTCAAAGTTGTATAGTTAATCTTATGCCAGAAAAAACACAGCAAATCATCTACACAATTCAACCCTATATGCAATCGTTGATTTCATAAGGGCCTAATTCCATGCACGGGTAAATTGTAAAGGTTCAAAAGGTCTTAATTTCGAGGGAATAATTAATTTCGAAATTAAGACCTGTTAAATTTCATGCATCATCTATATATTCTAAATGATTTTAAACTTTTATGTGCGTATCCGTACGTACAAAAACACGACAGTGGAAAACAGCCGTAAGTCAGCAATTTTTCTGTTCAGGTCTGGTATAATGATGGTTGAAGCTGAACTATCAATTAGCTCATGTATTATTGTCTTCTATAAACTCTAAATATATATAGATTACACTTCATGCAGGCTTCAGTTCTGGCGAAAGCTTGCAATATTCAACATGTAATTTTAACTGCTTCGACACCCGTAGATAGAATTACGCGGTTTATCCGCTTCCTGCAATGCGGACACCGCGATATTTCGTAAAGACACAAACGTTTTCAAATGTTCACATATATCTACCTAAGTAAATGTTGAACTATAATTTTTTATAATTTTTTCTGCATTTTTGTAAGTCATATATAGGCTGACCATATTTTCAATATGAAAATAAATTTAAGTAGTAACGTTAATAACCTGGCCATCATATCTTGGGCTTCAATGTAAATCCTTCACTTCCGCGTCATATTGATTTGGTGCGTTTTTATGCTAAAGATAAGATGCATGTCTGCGAATTTTTCAGACTTTTTTTAATCATTTTTAACACAATTTTGTGCTCGCTATTATAAACGTTGGTTATTTTATCGGATTTGAGTTATTTTCTTCAATAGAATATATATAAACGTCCTAAAATGTAGCTACTACAATATCATATTAGGAATAATTTTGCATGTATACTTTCCCTACCGTATAATGGCAAAAGCTCCTGCTCTATTCAAGATTAGGGTTCACTTTTGTACAAGTATATATTCCAAGCAGCTGTTATATTAGGGAATGACTAGGCCTGCAATTAGACTAATGACAAGAAACCAGCTAGTATATGCACGCATTAATTTGAACATCCAATTAAAGCCCTTATTCCGATGCAATATTAGCCTCATTCTAATGAAATATTAGCCAATTGTTTTTCCGGCGAAATTGCTAGTGGGTTTTCATGATGATTAGTCATGCTAATATAGTTATTGGTCTCCTTATTGAGTTATTGCTATTGCCTTGGGCAAACACTTCTCACCTTTTCACGAAGAGCTACATAGCCAACCTCGCAAGCCAGGCTTTTTTATCTACGCTCCAGGCGAAAACCCTGGTTCAGGACTGGTCATGTGACAGCGCAAAATCTTCTAATTTTTAATTATGGCGCTTAGTTCATCTCTAAGGGAAGGGTGGCGAAGTCAATATGCCACTTCTGCTTTTTTAGCACTTGTGACAGTCCAGGTCGCTTTGTACTGCCGCCACGCAATGTACTAAAAATAGCGGTTCGCAAAATAAATAAATACAGGACATGTTGTAAAAACTGCGCTGGACTTTGGATCATTTTTAAAATTCGTCATCTATAGATTTTCGTATTGTCTTACTTCACGACCCATCCCTGAGCCTTACGAAAGTTGTTGTGCTCTTCTTTAACATTGCAATAATTTCTTATTTTTAACAATTTTTACGATGAATAATTGTATACTTTACTACAAAATTACTTTAACTACGCGGGTATTGTTAAAACCTAATACATTTCATTTAAAGTCCATGACATGTTCAATAAATTAGCACAATCATACTGAAGCTTTTTATTAAGTTATTTCAAGAGCATCTTATGAAACTCGTTCCTTTGATATCTTCCAGGCTCTGTCTTGAAAAATATTGACGAAAGACACAACAAAACTAAGTCTATTCTAATGTTTAAAGTATTTAATAACCACACTGCTCCCAACCTAAGGGCGTCCTTTATTCGAATGAATGATATTCAGAATAACTGATTTGATTATCCCTAAACCTAAGAGCGAATATGTCAGTTAAAAAAAACTTTTAAGTATAGTGGAGCTTTTACATGGAATTCGCTCTCTACAGATGCAAAGCTATCAACTACTTTAAGTGCTTTTAAAAGGGATCTTGAAGCCTAGTTTGATCAATACCTATTATCAAAGACCTTCTAAGAAACCTTCCATTCAAACTGAAAGTTTTATTTTTTTGTAAATATGTTTTATCTCTTTGACGCTTCTTAGGAAGAACATCAATTTAATGGTGATGAGAAATTAATGCGTCATTAAATAAATTGTTTATGTATATGTATGCATGCATGTATGTCAACTAAACATCGAAACTTTATGATCAATTAACCAATGAACTGTATAGTGAGAAATCATGACAATCCTTTATTGTATGACTGTTAAGTAATTCTGAGTGTATTTGGTTTCTTCAAAGCTTTAGTATTGTCGTATTTGTACACAAAGCCGGGTCTCGAATTGAACATTGAAAGTTCAGGTATTTTGTAGTGAATTTTGACGTTTCTTTTCACACTCATCACTAAGAACAGACTGAATCATGATACATAAGCACCATTCGCTTTATTCTCAGGACTCTCACATCATGTTGTTGAAAAATCCTTAGATACGGGGCAAAAATTCTTAAATTGCCTATGATCTTCTAAAAATCGTGACCTACACGGGGTCATGATATTTGAGATCCGGAAACTAGTGTAAAAAGGCGGGAATGGGACTATGGGAAGATGAAAAACCCCCGAAAGAAGGGTGAAAACCAAACTGTACAAGCAAAAATTTCGTTTCATATGTTATTAAACAGTCATACTCGTAATAAACAAGTAACTTAATTATTTAAATAAGTTATTTGTTTAGATAAAATTAGATTGTGTGAAGACTGAAGAGACCTTAATAAGAACAGTTTTCATTGGCTCCCTTTGTTCAATCTTGTATTTTGAAATATTTTGTGAACTTCGGATTAAAAATCAGAATTCCTTAGAAATTCATTAATAACATATAATTCCTTAAACAATTCTTTAAAAAACCAAAAAAGGTTGAAATTTCCTTAGTAATAATTTCCTTAAAAGAGTGAGACGCAATATAAAACTGGACACCCTGTTTTATGCCTAGGTTGGCTATTCATTCATGCTCAAGACACCACTTGCTTCTCAGCGGTTTTGTTCCATATTTTCTTAAACAACATTTCGTCTACTGCACTTCACCACCCATCCTAGAGCCTTACGAAAGTTTCTGTGTCTCCACGCATAAATAAATGGGTTGAGAACGCTGTTCAGATACACTACAGGCTCGCATGTTTTGCTCAAGAAATAATAGAACTTGGATTTACTGCATGATGTGCAGAAATATTCCAAATGAATGAAAACAGCATAAGGCGAATATGTTAGGAAAAAGAGCGATAAGATGAAGAATATTGTCACCAAAAGCCGCTTGTCAGATTTCATTCTTTTAATGTTTTCTTTAGTTGCACTGTCTATATTTACCACAGATGTGACTTCTTTCAGTCTCCGCCTTTTCTTTGTCTTCAAGTTGAAGTATATGAAAGCAAATAAGAGAGTCAATGAGAGAAATGAGAAAGTTACATGTAGATGTGTATTCAGTAAGATATACACTTTGTCAGACATTCCCATTAGGCGAAATGAGGAGAAAAATCCGGAGTAAATCCACGAAATGGCCACAATTATTGCAGCTGATTTTAGTGTCATAACTCGACGATACAAGAAAGGTTTTTTAATGGTCACACTTCGGTCGATGATGAGTATTACTATTGTGACTATAGCGTTGTTGACTGTTATATAAGAGCCGTAATCACCAATTTCTAGTGTTTTCGAGTAATATTTGTTTTGATAAATACCAAAATGGTAAACAGCATACAATGGATCCACAACAAGTCCTGTCAACAAATCAGCGACTGCGAGGTTTGCTACAAATACTATTGGTACGTTACGAAAGCATTTGTAAGGATCGTAGCAGATGGCTGTTAGAAGTAGTGCGTTGGCAATTATTGTAGCAAGCGATATTACTAGCAGTAGAATACCAATCGTTAGCGAGAGAACTCTCTGAAATGTCGTATATTCTGTTGAACTGTTGTTTGATTCCATCATTCCATTCGTGCAGTGCTGTTCTTTAATGTTCTTATTTATTGTCCTGTAATAAAAAAAAACTATTGACATCTTTAGAACTTGGTTCATACATTATGCATGAACTGAAGGATATTTGCCTGACAATAATAACATAAATAGTTGAAAACGTGACATGAAATGCGCATTACCAGCTGTCTAAAACATACAAAAAAACTTCACAGCCAGTTTGGACCTTTCCTTTCGTCACCCTATAATTCTCCTTAATACAAAATTGCATGTACGTTTAAAGGATAATAATTCCTTGGTGAAGGACTAGACGTTCAGTTAGACAAATGTATAATTAATCAAACCCTCCTACCCGCGGTAATCTCATCGTAATGAATCATTAGATTTTCTCACGACATTACGTTCTTTGACCAGGCCTGGACCTGGACCAGGTCTAGGCCTATAGGCGTTTGAACGTTGTTTACCTGGCCTAGACCAAGCCTGGACCTGGTCTATATAGGCCACAAAATCCAGGGACCGGTTGTATCAAGCCCGTTTAGCCTAAACGGTGGTTACGTTCAAAATAGAAAGCCAGTCTATCGTTTTATTCAACAAAGCTAAATTTTTTTACCCTTAATACAAATTAAGATACTGTCTACAACTACATATTCAGTGCATAATATTCAAGTTGAATCATTCAAGGGAGATGTAGAGTGTTATTTAATTTTAACTTATCCAGTCAGCAGAAGAAATTGGTCTGGACCAGGCCTGGACCTGTACCAATTTTTGTAACGTGAACGGGATTTAGCGTGTTTGTGGTGTTTCCCAAGTATTTTGTCACGATGTTGTCTATACATTTTTGTTTTTGTCTAGGAATGCGCGCTCGCCTTTAAAATGTAAAACCGTAGCTACTATCAGTTAAGAGATTACCTATCAATTAACGCAAACTTGTACAATTTGTACGTCTTGTTTTCTGGCAAATCTTAGAATATGTACGTCTTGTATTCTGGCAAATCTCGTGGACTTTAATATCTTCATAATTTCTCACTTTAGTTTTGTGCTAAAATCGATCTAATTTTTCATAGCATTCTACGATCGTTATTATGAAACAAAATTCATGCATATTATATCGGATACAGTCTATTTTTTTATCAACAGCATGCATATAATAATTTTAAAAAAATATTTTAAGAATAAATCTAAGCTTTCCCTACCGTGATATTGCTCTTGTTGTTTTCAAGAATGCATGGGATTCACTTTTATGCCATGTTTCATGCCATGTAGCTGCATGTAACTCTCTGTAGTGAAGCCCGAATGGCGTTATGATGCAGTCAAACCAGTTTCTGTATTACTTCAAACATCCAATTGAGAATAAGAAAGCCTCATTGTGACGAATCATTAGCCAATAGCTTTTTGAAATTATATACGGGTTCTCGCGAAGATCAATCATGCTAGTGTCCTATAATTAAATTTTGTTATTGTTTTAAGACTTAGCTTGTTACGAAGTGCTACATATAGCTTGAAGAAAACAAATACATGTTTTTGGGAATAAGCAACATTTAAATCTCTTGTCAGACCACCATGTTTCGATAGTTATTTTATCCAAGCTGAGCCTGAATTATGAGAACGAACTGTACCATTTAACAAAATTCTCCGGAAATTTACACCTGTTACAGTTTACACCCTCTTGACATGATGATTTTGAATCGCAATTTGTGCGCTCTTAAACGTTTTACAAATCTAGTCTGCACTCCTTAATAGAAGTTTAATTTCGTGAACATATTGATTATATTCTTAGATACTATAAACTTTTAACTTTCTAACCGGTTCTAATCGGTTAATATTTTTAGGAATAAGTCTAGACTTTCCTTACCGTAATATGACTCTTAATTGCTTGCGTAACATGCATATACGTCATGTAGGTGTAATTTTTCATAATGAAGGAATAGGCGTTACACTAATGTATTCAAACCAGTTTCTTTATTCACTGCATGAAACATTTAATTGAGACCTGGGAGCCTCACTCTAATCATTAGGCAATAACTTTTCAAAATTATATACGGCGACAAAGACCAGTTATGCTAAAAATAATGGTGTAATTAAATTTTTGTCATTGTCTTGAACGCAGACTTTGCTTGTCTCGATGAGCTACATAGTTTGATGAATACAAATGTATAGTTTTTAGGAATTAATGAACATTTAAATCTGTAGTCAGACACCATACTAGGATAATTACTTACATCTAAGCTAAATTATGAGAACGAACTGTACCGAAAAAAAATAATTCCCCGGAAATTTGCACCTGTTACATTGTGCATCCTATTGACATTTTGAATAGCAATTTGTGTGCTTTAAACGTTTTACCAATAAGTCGGCGCTTCTTAAGGGAATTTAATATCTTGAATATATGACCCTCCACATTATGCAAGGTTGCAAGTGCTTTTTGCGTGTAGCTTCAGGCAATGCCTATTTTTTCATAATCTCAAACATTTGATCTTTTTCGTCCACGGCACTTCACGACCCATCCTAGAGACTTACGAAAGTTCCTGTATCTCCACGCATAAATAAATGGGTTGAGAACGCTGTTCACTTACACTACGGCCTCAGATGATTGGCTCATGAAATAATAAAACTTGGATTTACTGCATGATGTGCAGAAATATTCCAAATGAATGAAAACAGCGTAAGGCGAATATGTTAGGAAAAAGAGAGATAAGATGAAGAATATTGTCACCAAAAGCCGCTTGTCAGATTTGATTTCCTGAAGTTTTTCTCTAGTTGTGTTGTCTATATTTTCCACAGATGTGACTTCTTTGAATTTCCGCCTTTTTTCTGTCTTCAAGTTGGAGTATATGAAAGCAAATAAGAGAGTCAATGAGAAAAATGAGAAAGTTACATGTAGATGTGTATCCAGTAAGATATACGCTTTGTCAGACATTCCCATCAGGCGGAATGTGCAGAAAAATCCAGAGTAAATCCACGAAATGGCCACAATTATTGTAGCTGATTTTAGTGTCATAACTCGACTATACAAGAAAGGTTTTTTAATGGCTATTAAACACACTTCGGTCGATGATGAGTATTACGGTTGTGACTACAGTATTGTTGATTGTGGTAAAAGCGATGTAGTGAGAAACATTTTGTATTTTCAAGTAATGTTTGTTTTGATAAACACCAAAATGGTAAACAGCAAGCAATGGATCAACAGCAAGTCCTGTCAACAAATCAGCGACTGCGAGGTTTGCTATGAATATTATTGGTACATTACGAAGACATTTGTAAGGATCGTAGCAGATGGCAGCTAGAAGTAGTGCGTTGGCAATTATTGAAGCAAGAGATGTCACCAGCAGTAGAATACCAATCGTTAGCGAGAGAACTCTCTCAAATGTCGTATATTCTGTTGAACTGTTGTTTGATTCCATCATTCCATTCAGTGCTGTTCTCTAATGTAGACCTGTATAATTAAAAAAATAGTGATATCACAAGGCTTTGAGACTTGGGGTTCATGCACGATGGAAGGTATGATAATAGACACATCTAAATATATTAGGCAATTGTCTGAAGTTTTTTTACAAGAAAACCTTTACACTAACTGTCTTGATTACAAAATATTATGTAATATATTTCGCCTGCTGTAAATCCGCATGTAGTAACTTCAGTTCCGCGATGTCGGAAGAATTTGAAAACGCAAAAATATTTCTCCGTTATTATATTTATTTGCATATGTCACACGTAAAAACAAAAACGTTTCAGATACGCTTATTTAAGTGATCCCACAATGGGATCTCGGCCACTTGGGATGTTGAATTCAAAACAAAAATCTACCAAACCCAAAGGAAAAAACAAGAATAAGGACTTTGTTTGGACAGACGACAAACTTGAACTCCTTCTAAATTGTCGGGACTGAGCGACAACGGGGCGCACGAAATAATAGGGGATGACACGCACTGCACAGAAATGGGAAGCAATATGGGTAAAATAAGGGATCTGCACAAAATTGAGTCAGTTGGTGATAGAGGGTCATAGTGTGCGAATGTGACTCGAGAGACGCGATATTAATTCGACATAGCTGCAACGTGAATTTTGGGTGAAGATTTAGTATAACTTTTAATTTTATTTGTTAATCAATATATTTCATAAACCCAATCGAATTTGTGTGAATTGAGACTTGTCGAGGACAAACGATACTGAACGGAGGCTAATTCTCGACACCTGGCACCTCCGACGGGATTGCGAACTCGTTGAACAACGATGGAAGAAGAAAAAGAGAGTACTGCTGGAGAGACAGTTACGGAAATGGCCGTTCAACCAACCGGAGAAAGTATACCTCCAGAATTGACAAAGGCAGACATCGAATTGGAGACGAAATTATCCCAGCTGAAATTGGTTACGAGAAGGTCAGATAAAATCCTGGCAACAGGTAAGCGTGAAACTATAAAACGCCATATCGAAACACTGCAATCTGTAAACACCGCGGCTAACGAGTGCAAGCGCAAAGTTGAGGAACAGAAAATCGCGAGAAAAACAAGCATGAGCGAAATTTCCGATTGGAGCGACAGTGTTGAGGCGACACTCGAAGTAGCTGATTTACAGATTTCAAAGTTGAGCGATTGGTTAGCTGAAGAGAAACGTAACGCTAAGGCTGCAGGACTAGAGCAGCAACGTGAGGCAGAACTAAAGTTGCATGAACAGAAACTACGCATGCAAAGGGAAATGACCCCACCCAAACCGGAAACTCAGGAATGCCCAAGTCGAAACGCAAAGCTACCGAAACTTGTGATCACGAAGTTTAATGGGTCATTTAAAGACTGGCCTAGGTTTTGGGGACAATTTACCGAAGGGATTGATAAGAGTTCCGTGGCCCCCATTACCAAGTTTACGTATTTGTTAGAATTATTGGGTCCAAAGGTCAAAACATGCGTCGAGTCCCTGCCCTTTTCAACCGAAGGTTACAATAGAGCCAAAGCCATTCTCCAAGACAATTACGGCAAGGAATCCGAGATTGTCAAAAGCTATATAAGGGAGATTCTCGATCTACCTCATATTCCGAACAGTAACCCCCGTAGAATTGCCGAATTTAGTGAGACTTTGACCTATTGCGTGCGAGCCTTGCAGACCTTGAGGAAACTCGATCAGGTTAACGGAAATGTCTCGATGACATTAGATAAATTGTCAGGTATCAGGGGCGATTTAGTTAGAACCGATCCTGAATGGGAAACATGGGATTTCGAGAAGTTAGCTGAGGCATTGCGACAGTGGGTAAAACGCAATCCGGTAAACGAAAGCGACCCTCCGCGCAAAGATGATTACCGTAAGAAGTTGTTTCGCGCGAGCGGAAATGAACAAAAACTTTTGGGCTGTGTTCATTGCGGCGATCTTGGCCATAAGGCGGTTTCATGCACAAATGTCGTGAATCCCAGTGACCGAAAGCAAATTTTAGCAAGAAAGGGTTTGTGCTTTAACTGCGCTACGAAATTTCACCGAGCTTCGGACTGTGCCAGCAAGACGTCTTGTGGGCATTGCAACAAGCGTCATCACTCATCCATCTGCGAACAGTACAAGCATGAACGCGACGAAAGGTCTGGTCAAGATCATACAAAAGAAGGGGACCAATCACCCGGGGCTAAGAAAGTGATGACAGATGGGGCAAGCGCGGAAGGGATATTTCCAGTCGTTGTTGTGAAAGTTAATGGTGTAATGACTCGCGCACTTATTGATTCTGGCGCCGGCAGTTCCTATGCGTCCGCGAAACTTGTCAACGCGTTAAACATTAAACCCAGCGAAATAAAGAGCCAGCGAATAGACATGTTGATGACTTCGCAAACAAAGCGAATAGAAGTTTTCGATGTAGAAGTTAGTTCCTTGGACGATTCGTGCAAAATAAACGTGAGCTTGAACAAAGTTGAAAAGAGCGAGCTTCTGACAACTGGTAACCCCAATTACGACCAACTCGTGAGACGATATAAACATTTGAATTCGGTCAAAATGGACGAACGCGACACAAAGAGTGAGCTACCCATTCACCTCGTGCTGGGAAACGGCGAGTATGCTCGGATAAAAACAAGGACCAAACCCCTGGTAGGAAAGGACGGTGATCCCGTGGCGGAATTTACAAGGTTTGGTTGGATGATCATGAGTCCTGGAATCGAGTTGGACCAGAATACGATGCTACTGACCACAACATCTCAAAACGATTTCGAGCGATTGTGTCGGTTAGACGTCCTCGGTCTTGAAGAACCCACCGAGGAAGGCTCTCAAGCGATTTACGATGATTTTAAAGACGAGCTCACACGCGACAAAGAAGGCTGGTACGAGACTAGCTTACCGTGGAAATCGCATCATCCACACCTTCCGTCGAACAAAAGAGGAAGCATAAGGAGACTTAACAACCTGGTGAAACGTCTCGAGAAAAGAGGAATTTACAAAGAGTACAACGATATTATTCAAGATCAGCTCGTGAAAGGTATTGTCGAACCAGCACCTGCCACAGCAAAGGGTAAAGAGTTTTACATTCCCCACAAGCCCGTCGTAAAGGAGACCGCAGAGACGACGAAACTTCGGGTCGTTTACGACGCGTCCGCCAAAGAATCGGCATCTGATCCATCCTTGAACGAATGCTTGAACCCTGGCCCACCACTCCAGAACCACCTGTGGGATATTTTAGTTCGTCTACGTTTCCTCCCCATCGTGCTGACCGCTGATCTCGAGAAAGCCTTCCTGCAAGTCCGGATACGCGAAAACCAACGAGATTCCCTACGCTTCCATTGGAAGGCACCAGATAGTGACGACCTCACAGTCTATCGGTTTACTAGGGCGCTGTTTGGGCTGACCTGTTCTCCCTTCCTTCTTGGAGGTGTCCTGAACGAACACCTAAAGAGTTGGGAGAAAAGATATCCGGCTCTGGTGGAAGAGATAAAAGGCGGCCTGTATGTCGATGATGTGATGGAGGGAGGTGATAATGTTGAAGAGGTCAAAGAGAAGAAAGCGAAGACGGTTAGTATTTTTGAGGATGCCACTTTCCACCTGCATAAATGGCACTCAAACGCCTCTGAACTCGAGGATACCGACCAGAGCGCCAATGAAGGCAACGTGGGCAACCCGGAAACTACCTTCGCGAAACAGCAGCTGGGCACAAAGGGGACTGAGACAAAGATCCTCGGTATGGGTTGGAACAAAGCTCAAGACCGTTTAAGTGTTGTAGTAAACAAAGAACGAGACGAAGCATCTACGAAAAGGGAGGCCCTGTCGCAGGTTGCAAGTGTGTACGACCCACTCGGCCTGGTTTCCCCAACTACCCTAGTAGCAAAACTACTGTACCGTGAAATGTGTGAAGAGCAACTTGCCTGGGATGAAGAACTTAACGGTTCTTTGAAGAGACGGTGGAAAGAGTGGTACGAAAACCTGCCAGGCCAGTACACGGTCCCTCGAACTTTAGCCCCTCACAGAGAGCCAGTACAGTCAATCACCCTTCACGGATTCGGGGATGCCAGTAAGAACGGAGTTTCTGCGGTCGTCTACGCAGTCGCAGAGCAAGAGAGCGGAACAACCCAAGGTATCGTGTGTGCAAAGTCCAGACTTGCAAAGAAGAGCCTCACGATTCCCCGTTTAGAGCTTGTCGCTGGTCATATGACCGCAAACTTAGTGACGAACGTCGAGCGAGCGATCGGAATGGAGAAGGTGACCGAGATACACTGTTGGTTGGACTCGACAGTCGCGTTATATTGGATCAATGGACAAGGCGAGTACCGGCAATTCGTATCCAACCGAGTGAAAAAGGTCAAAGAACTCGACCGGATCAGATGGCATCACGTCCCAACGAACGAGAATCCCGCTGACCTAGGGAGCCGCGGAGGAGATGTGGTGGGAAACGAGTTATGGAAGCACGGTCCAACGTGGCTTAACAACCAGGAGACGTGGCCACCGGAAGTTGTTCCTGTGGCGAGTTCGGATTCGAAGCAAGAGGAAAAACCGTCGACGCGAGTTTTGGTCACGATGAATCAAACGGCACACGAGGACGTGTTTGACCAACTACTAGAGCGGTATACGTTGCGGAAAACCCTTCGAATTTGTGCTTGGATTAACCGCTTCATTCAACACACCCAAAGGAAAGCGAAGTCCCTGGGACCGATAAAGACGCAGGAGATCGAAGACGCACGGTTGTGGTGGATTAAACGAGTTCAAGATGGAGCTAGGGACGCACCGGAATTCGAGAGTACGAAAATCGAGCTAAACCTCCAACCTAACCAGAACGGAATTCTAGAGTGTCGCGGGCGAATCGAAGGCGAGTATCCGGTATACTTGCCTGCAAATTCGCAGTTTTCAAAGAAACTAGTCGAACAAGCGCACATCATCACTCTTCACGGGGGAGTACCGGCGACCATGGCTGAAGTTCGTGAGCGATACTGGATACCTAGACTACGTCGCCTTGTGAAGCAGGTACGAAGCAAATGTCATGGATGTGTGCGATTCCGCGCTCGTGCGTATCACAGACCACCGCCTGGACGACTACCAGTTACGCGAACGCAAGGAGAAACCCCATTCCAAGTGATAGGAGTCGACTTCGCTGGACCAATCAAATACAAAACAGCAGGAAAAGCGGAAAAGAAAGCGTATCTGGTACTTTACGCGTGCAGCCTCACAAGAGCAGTTCATTTGGAGCTGTTGAAATCATTGGAGGTTGTCCAATTTCTGCCTAGCCTAAAAAGATTGATCGCTCGAAGGGGGAGACCACAAATCATATACTCAGATAATGCCACTACGTTCAAGGCTGCGGCAAACTGGCTGAAAAAGGCAATTGGAAATGAGATCATAAACGGTTTCCTTACGGACAAGGAGATCCATTGGAGGTTTAACCTGAGTCGCGCACCCTGGTGGGGTGGACAGTTCGAGCGGTTGATCGGGCTCTTTAAACGATGTTTTTATAAAAGTATCGGGAACGGTAATCTAACCTTTGAAGAATTATCAGACGTGATCCTAGACATAGAAGTTGTAATGAACAATCGACCGTTAACATACGTTGAAGACGACGTAGAACAAACTGTTCTCACCCCCGCAAGAATGTTGCAGATAAATCCAGTTATCTTACCTGAAGTGGAATCTTATCACGTTGAGGACCACAGCCTTCGGAAGAGAGCGAAGTTTCTTCGTAGATGCAAGGATTTGTTGTGGAGACGGTGGTATAGAGAATACGTTCGTGGGCTAAGAGATCGACACCGACAAGATAATGGGAAAAACGCAGATCATCCCAACCGTGGTGATGCTGTTATCATCGAAGGAGAGGAGAAGAACAGAAATTTATGGAAGATGGGCGTAGTCGAAGAGCTGATTCGAGGGCGTGATGACGTAGTACGGGGAGCAAAGATCAGGACGCCAAATGGAATTCTTGAACGTGCAATACAGCAACTCTACCCGATAGAACTTTCCTGTGACTTACCACCTCCAACCACTTTAAACCCAGACACCCCTCCCTTCCAACCCCGACCGAAACGTGATGCAGCAGCAGCGGCAGCAATCCGCTTACGGGATCAAGCAGAAGAAGATGAACGGTGACACTTATCCATATTAGGACACTAATATTAGATTGCATTTAAGCTTGAATCAGTAGCACTAGCTCAGACCCTTTGTAGACATATATCACAGCACTAAGATATATGGGGGGAGTGTGTCGGGACTGAGCGACAACGGGGCGCACGAAATAATAGGGGATGACACGCACTGCACAGAAATGGGAAGCAATATGGGTAAAATAAGGGATCTGCACAAAATTGAGTCAGTTGGTGATAGAGGGTCATAGTGTGCGAATGTGACTCGAGAGACGCGATATTAATTCGACATAGCTGCAACGTGAATTTTGGGTGAAGATTTAGTATAACTTTTAATTTTATTTGTTAATCAATATATTTCATAAACCCAATCGAATTTGTGTGAATTGAGACTTGTCGAGGACAAACGATACTGAACGGAGGCTAATTCTCGACACCATGTTGTTGTTGAGTATACAATGATTAATTGTCGTGTACAAAAAAAATGTGTATAACCAAATACTCCGACATTCTGGTCAGGGGCGTAGGAACCATATTTAAGTTGGGGGGGCCATTAACGTCTAGGGCACTTGCCTGATGAAAAGGGCATTTAACATTGCCACGTATTATTGTTGAAAAAAGTTGAATTATATTATAATTTGTTGCGTTGGCATAGACGTTTCCACAAAGAAAAAGGGCACTTTACCTCAGCAAAAGGGCACTTTTTCTATTATTTTTGAAAGTTGGGGGGGCCTTGGCCCCCCCGGTTCCTACGCCCCTGATTCTGGTTTCTCGCGTGAAAATCCTTCCTCGGCATGCAAGGATTGGCGAAAATTTCACACACAATTAAAATAACCTAAATAAGATAAGACTCAACCTGAATAAAACTCTAATATATATAGCAATATAAAGTTGAACTGATAAGGGTGGATTTCCACTTATAGAGCACTGAATAGTTCGCCAGCGAAATATTTGCATATTTTCTTTTGAATTGAGAACATTTACGCCTGCGGTATTCAAAAAGCTCACTCACACTCACTGCGTGTAAGTGTGACATAGAAATCCCACTTAATCAGTTTGAGTGTGAGTGAGCTTTTAGAGTAAGCTACTACAGGCGATAGTCATGTTGAATTTATGCCGCTAAAATTATAAAGAAAATATGCATCTATTTTGCTAGTGAACTATTTCCTACAGTGTGAAAATTCAACCTAAGCCACAATGCTTGAAAGAAACCTCATTTATATGGAATTATATGATACGTTACTTTGCGTCATCGTTTCGGCAAAGCCGTTCACATGAAGTTACCATGAAACCCGTTCACAGAAAGTTACCATGCACGATGCCGGAAGAATTTGCGAAAATGCAAAAATACCTAAAATATTTACCCGCGCGTCCACATGCAAACACAAAAACGCTAAAGTTATTTGAACCCGCAGTACACCTCCATGTTTTCAACCTGCGTGTCACACGTGGGATGTCCGAACTCAAAACAAAACAAAATGTTGAGTATATGCCGGAACAATTGTGCATAACCATGCAAATACTCCGACATATAGAAAATACTTTCTCAGCAAAGAAAATAACTCACAATGAAAATAACCTTTAAAATAAGGACTCCAACTCAATAAGACTCATTTGACGCTAATATATAGTAATATATTTCATCCAGAATACGTATTATCAGAAGGGTGACTTATTTTCCTGCCTTCAAATTTTCCCAAAATGTACACGTCATGCACACGCTATGGACTGATGGCTGCCTGTGAATTTTTTATTATTTCTGCCATTTCACCACATGGCAGAGAGCATATAAAATGACAAGTGGCGAATATCACGCAATATCACGCAATAAACACTTGCCAGCAAAATGGCTGTATGGGGGCATTTTTATTACTCCGATGGACATCTGTCCATCTTTTATCTATGCATGGTATAGCTCTGGGTGTAGCCTAAAGGCTGCTTTAATTCCACTGTCGCGTTTTTTGCACGTGCGTACACGCGCGTAAAAGCTTAAAACCTTCAAAGTTGTACAGTTAATCTTATGCCAGAAAAAACACAGCAAATCATCAACAGAATTCAACCCTATATTATGCAATCGTTGATTTCATAAGGGCCTAATTCCACGGGTAAATTGTAAAGGTTCAAAAGGTCTTAATTTCGGGGGAATGATTAATTTCGAAATTAAGACCTGTTTTAAACTTTTATGTGCGTATCCGTACGTACAAAAACACGACAGTGGAAAACAGCCGTAAGTCAGCAATTTTCCTGTTCAGGTCTGGTATAATGATGGTTGAAGCTGAACTATCAATTAGCTCATGTATTATTGTCTTCTATAAACTCTAAATATATATAGATTACACTTCAGTCTTCAATTCTGGTGAAAGCTTGCAATATTCAACATAATTTTAACTGCTTCGACACCCGTAAATAGAATTACGCGCGGTTTATCCGCTTCCTGCAATGCGGACATCGCGATATTTCGTAGAGACACAAACGTTTTTAAATGCTCACATATACCTTACCTAAGTAAATGTTGAACTATAATTTTTTGTGCATTTTTGTAAGTCATATATAGGCTGACCATATTTTCAATATGAAAATGAATTCAAGTAGTAACGTTAATAACCTAGCCATCGTATCTTGGGCTTCAATGTAAATTCTTCACTTCCGCGTCATATTGATTTGGTGCGTTTTTATGCTAAAGATAAAATGCATGTCTGCGAATTTTTCAGACTTTTTTTTAATCATTTTAAACACAATTTTGTGCTCGCTATTATAAACGTTGGTTATTTTATCGGATTTGAGTCATTTTCTTCAATAGAATATATATAAACGTCGTTTAGGAATTAATCAACATTTAAATCTAGGTCAGGGCACTGGGTCAGGGCAACATATTATAGGAGAGTTACTTTTACTTGAATAAAAATTGAATTGAATATGAGAACGAACTGTATACTGAAAAAACCCAATTTCAAATATCTTCTAGGGAATTTTAATGTCTTTTCTAACATTCAGTAACTAAAAACCTTCCAAGCCTTCGTTATCATATTTCATATAATATATTGTATCGGTTTTGGAATAATTAGCTTTCGGTCAAGAATAATTAGCTTCCCTTACCGTGATATGGTTCTTGTTGTCTTCAAAAATAGGAATATGCAAAGTTATATTTACATGTATATTATATTATATTATATTATATACGCCATGTATATGGATGTAATTCTCTATAATGAAGGAATAGGCGTTAGACTAATGTAGTCAAACCACCTCAAACATCTATCGGGACTGAATTTATAAAGTTAGGTGTTGACCAAGCCAGAAATGGGCGGCAAACTGTGGGTAAATTAAGGGTCTGCACAAAACAAGTGATAGAGTGTTATATTGTGCCAAAGGAGAAAACCGACTGTGACTCGAGAGCCATCGAAACACTTCATAAAACGCAATCCGGTAAAGGAAAGCGAAGATGATTACATTCACTTTTCTCATTATGCAAGGTTCCTGTGCCCTTCGTAACGTCCGGATATGCACGCCTAAACACATTGTTCTTCTTATATACACTTGAAGAATTTATCTTTCTTAAAGCTCTACTAATGTCGTATTTGTACATGGAATAATGGTCCACAAATTTAAACTAATGTAACTTCAAATATCTTCTAGCGAATTTTGATGTCCTTACTAACATTTAGTTCAAGCAAGTCAAGTTTAAATATACTTCCAATATCTTGCTAGATCTTTAGAGGTGGGTTTTAGACAAATTAAAAAGTAACCCACCTAAGAGTCGTCATCACATGTGTTCCTCACAGACCGCAATATGAAACTGGACACACGTGCATACTTATGACAACCTAGGTTCGAGTCATCCGTGCTAAACCCACTCGTTCCCCAGTGGTTTTGGTCTCACGATTTGTTCCATATTCTCTAAAATTCGTCCTCGTTCGTCCACGACACTTCACAATCCATCCCAGAGCCTTACGAAAGTTCTTGTGTCGCCACGCATAAAGAAATGGGTTGAGAACACTGTTCAGAGACATTACGGGCTCGGATGTTTGGCTCAGGATATAATAGAACTTGTATTTACTGCAGGATGTGCAGAAAAATTTCAAATGAATGAAAACAGCATAAGGCGAATATGTTAGGAAAAAGAGAGATAAGATGAAGAATATTGTCACCAAAAGCCGCTTGTCAGATTTCATTCTTTTAATGCTTTCTTTAGTTGAATTGTCTATATTTACCATAGATGTGACTTCCTTTAGTTTCCGCCTTTCCTCTGTTTTTAAGTTGGAGTATATGAAAGCAAATAAGAGAGTCAATGAGAAAAATGAGAAAGTTAGATGTAGATGTGTATCCAGTAAGAGATACGCTTTGTCAGACATTCCCATCAGAGAAATTGTGCAGAAAAATCCAGAGTAAATCCACGAAATGGCCACAATTATTGCAGCTGATTTTAGTGTCATAACTCGACGATACAGGAAAGGTTTTTTAATGGCCACACTTCGGTCGATGATGAGTATTACTATTGTGACTATAGCGTTGCTGAATGTGATCACTACGCTGTAGTAAGCAACAAGGAGTATTTTCAAGTAATGTTTGTTTTGATAAATACCAAAATGGTAAACAGCAAACAATGGATAAACAGCAAGTCCTGTCAACAAATCAGCGACTGCGAGGTTTGCTACAAATACTATTGGGACGTTACGAAGACATTTGTAAGGATCGTAACAGATGGCAGCTAGAAGTAGTGCGTTGGCAATTATTGTAGCAAGAGATATTACCAGCATTAAAATACCAATCGTTAGCGAGAGGTCTCTCTCAAATGTCGTATATTCTGTTGAACTGCTGTTTGATTCCATAATTCTATTAAGTGGAGTTCCGTTTGATTATCTGTCGTTTTGTCCTGTAATTCAAAAACAGTGTTTAGTTGCAATTTTGGAAGATTCGCCTGAATATAATCACAAAGGGAGAAATAACTGCAGAATAAATAGCCGAACCGGCGTAGCGTGAATATCATTTTAGGACTGCTTTCCACTGTCGCGGTTTAAAATAATTTAAGTGATACTTCTGAAATCAACGATTGAATAGACACTGACATAGGGTTGGATTCTGTTGATAATGAAGCCTAGCGCGTCTATAAAGAAAGCATATAGCCTTTTTGGTCGGCTGGTGCATATACAAACATCCACTGACTTCATATATCGATATCACTGGTAAAAACATGAAAGTAAAGTTATAACTATAGGTCTTATACGTTATGCGTTTTAGAAGTGTACATAATTATTGAATATGATTGGACATTGCATGCGAAACTTTGAGAATCTTTTATCACTTTGAAACTATTTATAAACAGACGAGTGAGACGACTTGTCGAATTATCGCAAGCAATTGAGCAAGTTGAGCAAAATGATACTTTTTACCGACGCTTGTGTTACCTACTATAGGGGGTTTACGATTCACTTCCCGGCCAGATCAGGGCGCTTATACAGTGAGCTTATATAGTGAGCTTATATTTACTATGTAAGCGCTGGGCCAGTTCGACGACGCGCGCTTGCAAAACAAAGACACCACTAGACAGCTATAACGTTGCAACAGCTTTCATGTCATCGAGAAGCCGTGAAAATGCGTGAAAATTTGAAAGCGTCGTTAGGATGTAAACACTTTTGGGGCCACAAGTTACGTATACCTTTAACCTTTTGGCTTGCGTGTGTTGTTTCTTTGTTTTGCAAGTGCGTTGTCGAGCTGGCCGCGTTTTATTGGTAAACTCCATAATGATTTTAAATCCAAGATGGCGCACGAACCAGGCGAATCATCTAAATTAATGACCTTGTCAGAATTAGTTTGTTGAACTCCATCCCTTCTCTATTTGGACTTACATCTATAACTTTTAATTTTTTAACCGCGGTATTATTGTTGAAAATGTGCTGGAAAATGGGCCTCCATGCTTGAGATGATGAAGATCAGCTTAATGTCTTCATGTTTAGCTATCCCAAAAAATAGACAACAAAAATCGCATCTGAATATATTAATATAACCAGCTATGCGACATAAATGTTGTGATTGCCAAGTACAAACTTCTTTCATCGTGTATATATTATCATGCAAAATGGCCGCCTCAACCAGGCAGTTATATAGTATTTATATTAACCTGTTAAAAATATTTTTGGAAAAGGTCAAGGCTTTCCCTACCGTAATATGGCTCTTGTTGTTTTGAAAAATAGGATTCACTTTTTTTATGGAGAGTTCTATTCACATGCATATACCATATACCGCAATGTAGCTGTGTAAGGGCTGTTTTTAACTTTAACCGTATCGTAGCGACACGTAGCGTTACTAGCGTCTATCATTCTTTCCTGGGCACTCGGATAGAACTAATGACTTTGAAACAACGAATGTTCATTACGATACGGTTGAAATGGAAAACAGCCCTAATTCTCTATAATAAAGGAATATAAGCATTAGACTATATAAAAAACCGCGGATTTCGCATTAACTATGCATTAACTCACTGGACATCCAATTAAGACCTGCGAGTCTCATTTCGACGAATAATTGAAATTATATACGGGTTCTCACGAAGTAATGCTAATCTATAGTTTTATTGGTGTCCTATGATTAAATTTTGTAACCTCGAAGAGCGACATAGTTTGATGAATATATACAGATGCGTAGTTTTTAGGAATTAATCAACATTTGAATCCTGGCCAGGGCAACATATTATAGGAGAGTTACTTTTGCCTGAATAAAAATTAAATTAAATATGAGAACGAACTGTATACTGAAAAAAACCCCAATTCTTCTAAAATTTGCAACTCATCTTACATTGAACATTCTCTGGACATGATGATTATCGCAATATGCGGGCTCTTAAATGTTTTTCAAACAAATCTGCCCTTCTTAAATTAAATTTCTCATGTTACATTGAACATTCTCTTGACATGATGATTATCGCAAAATGTGGGCTCTTAAATGTTTTTCAAACAAATCTGCCCTTCTTAAATTAAATTTCTTGAATGTATATGTTCGACTTTTATGCACTGCCTAAACTAATTCTTCTTCTTATATACTTTTGAAGAATTTATCTTTCTTCAAAGTTTAAAGCTTAATAATTATACCCGGTATTTGTATATGGTATATACAGAGATGCAATAATAAGTCCTCATGAGGACTTTGGACTCATGTAGCTTACTAATTTAACATTCAGTAACTAAAATCTTTCAGTTCAAAGATTCAAATGAGTCTTCAAACATACTCCCAATACCTCAGAGGTGGTTCTTGAGGTGGTTCTTATAGATGAGTGTAGTGTAGCAGCCTAACTAAAATTCGTGACTCATATGTGCATGTGTGTTCGTCAAAGACTGAAGATAAAAAAAAAACATCTACACTGAAAATAATCCAGTTTTGCGACATTAATTTTGTGATTGTCAAGTAAATGCAAACTCTATCTATTCAGTAACTTTGCGATGGCGTCAATAAACGCGGAACTACAAGTCGACAAACCACTTCATTATTTTGCCAAGGGACATACTCAGACTCACAATCATGCACTTTTGACGAAGGCCCCTAATAGGTCGGGAAAGTTTTTTTTATATGTAAACGCTGGGCATTTGCCTTTCCTTTTAATAAGAAGTTACTTGAAGACGTTTCCATGCTGTCCTTTGGTTATTCTGCATGCATTTTGTTGTTTTTACACAGAATGTTTCCGTGTTTATAAGTAATATAGGTTGTCTACTTAATTGATCGAATCGATCGTTTGACAGCAAATTGATCGCAAACTTTGCATGCAGATCTAGTTTTTCACAGCATTCTGCGATCGCTATTATATATATACTGTATATAATTTAATATAATATATTGTATCGGTTTTAGAATAATTAGCTTTTGGTCAAGAATAATTAGCTTCCCTTACCGTTATATGGTTCTTGTTGTCTTCAAAAATAGGATTATGCAAAGTTATATTTACATGTACATTATATTATATACGCCATGTATATGGGTGTAATTTTTATGATGAGGGAATCGGCGTTAGACTAATGTAGTCAAACCACCTCAAACATCTGTCGGGACTGAGCGACAATAAGGCGCAAGATGACACGCACTGCCGGAAATGGGAAGCAAACTGTGGGTAAATTAAGCAATCTGCACGAAACAAGTGATATAGATTTATAATAGTGTGCCAAAGGAGCAAACCGACTGTGACTCGAGAGCCATCGAAACACTTCATTCTGTAAACACCGCGGCTAACGAGTGCAAGCGCAAAGTTGACGAACAGAAAATCGTGACCCCACCCAAACCGGAAACTCAGGAATGCCAGTACACGTTCATGTTTTCCACCTGCGTGTCATGTGGGATGTCCGGACTCAAAACAAAACAAAATCTACCAAATTCGAAGCAAAAAACAAGAATGAGAACTGTGTTTGGACAGACGACAAGCTTGAACATCTTCTAAATGTTATTGTAGAGTATATATGAACAATTGTGCATAACCATGCAAATACTCCGACATATAAAAAATACTTTCTCAGCAAAAAAAATAACTCACAACAATGGAAATAACCTATAAAATAAGACTCCAACTCAATAAGACTCATTTGACGCTAAAATATATTTCATCCAGAATACGTAACTTATTTGCATACGCACACGCTATGGACTGATGGCTGCCTGTGAGTTTTTTATTATTTCTGCCATTTTAATTGTAATTTGTTGGCAAATAAATTTGCATGCAAATGCCGAAACATTGGTGAAATAGGTCTCATGGCAGAGAGCATATGTAATGACGAATATCACGCAACATCACGCAATAAACACTTGCCAGCAAGATGGCTGTCGGCATGGGGGCATTTTTATTACTCAGATCATAGGAATCCCAATAAATATTGTTGAAATAATAAGTAAATGGTCCAGTTACGTTGCAAGTTCAGTGACGTGAGTGATCGCGAAGAATAACTATATCTTATGCTTCGCGATCACTGACGTCACTGAACTGGGATTCCGATGCTCAGATGGACATCTCTCCATCTCTTATCCATGCATGCATGGTATAGCTCTGGGTATGGCATAAAGGCTGCTTTAATTCCTTTAAAACCTTCTAAGTTGTATAATTAATCTTATGCCAGAAAAAACACAGCAAATCATCAACAGAATCCAACCCTATATTATGCAATCGTTGATTTCATTAGGGCCTAATTCCACGGGCTTTCTTTTGAATTTCGACCACTTGAATAAATTAATTCTGCTTCATTGCTCACAATGCAAAAGAAGCTGGTGAAATATTTCGCACGTTGCTTGAAAATTTAGCCCGTGGAATTAGGGCTTCTAAGGGAGAATTAGGCACTTCGATCACTTGATGCAGGTAAATTGTTAGGGTTCAAAGGTTCTTAATTTCGAGTGGAATTATTAATTTCGAAATGACCCGTTGATTTCATGCATCTTCTATTCTAAATGATTTTAAACAAAAACAAGACAGTGGAAAACAGCCGTTAAGGCTAAGGCTAGTTTCCACTCGGAAAAATTCTCCTTTGGATCGAACAGGAGAGGAAAGTTTCCTTTGTATAAACGCCGCCTGAGAACTCACCGACAAAGGAAATTTTCCTGTCCGTTCCCGATCCAAAGGAGATTTTCCTAAAATGTATCTACTACAATATCATATTAGGAATAATTTTGCATGTATACTTTCCCTACCGTATAATGGCAAAAGCTCCTGCTCTATTCAAGATTAGGGTTCACTTTTGTACAAGTATATATTCCAAGCAGCTGTTATATTAGGGAATGACTAGGCATGCAATTAGACTAATGACAAGAAACCAGCTAGTATATGCACGCATTAATTTGAACATCCAATTGAAGCCCTTATTCTGATGCAATATTAGCCTCATTCTAATGAAATATTAGCCAATTGTTTTTCCGGCGAAATTGCTAGTGGGTTTTCATGATGATTAGTCATGCTAATATAGTTATTGGTCTCCTTATTGAGTTATTGCTATTGCCTTGGGCAAACACTTCTTATCTTTTCACGAAGAGCTACATAGCCAACCTCGCAGGCCAGGCTTTTTTATCTACGCTCCAGGCGAAAACCCTGGTTCAGGCCTGGTCATGTGACAGCGCAAAATCTTCTAATTTTTAATTATAGCGCTTAGTTCATCTCTAAGTATAAGAGAAGGGTGGCAAAGTCAATATGCCACTTCTGCTTTTTTAGCAATTGTGACAGTCCAGGTCGCTTTGTACTGCCGCCACGCAATGTTCTACTACAATTAGCGGTTCGCAAAATAAATAAATACAGGACATGTTGTAAACACTGCGCTGGACTTTGGATCATTTTTAAAATTCGTCATCTATAGATTTTCGTATTGTCTTACTTCACGACCCATCCCTGAGCCTTACGAAATTTGTTCTGCTCTTTTTTAACATTGCAATAATTTCTTATTTCTTTACGATGAATAATTGTATACTTTACTACAAAATTACTTTAACTACGCGGGCATTGTTAAGCCTTAAGGCCTAATACATTTCATTTAAAGTCCATGACATGTTCAATAAATTAGCACAATCATACTGAAGCTTTTTATTAAGTTATTTCAAGGGCATCTTATGAAACTCGTTTTTCTCAATATCCTCCAATCTCTGTCTTGGAAAAATATTGAAGAAAGACACAACAAAACTAAGTCTATTATAATGTTTAAAGTATTAAATAACGGGAATGGGACTATGGGAGGATGAAAAAATAGCCCCCGAAAGAAAGGTGAAAACCAAACTGTACAAGCAAAAATTTCGTTTCATATGTTTTTAAGCAGTCATACTCGTAATAAACAAATAACTTGGATAAGTTATTTGTTTAGATAAAATTAGATTGTGTAAAGATTGAAGAGACCTTAATAAGAACAGTTTTCATTGGTTCCCTTTGTTCAATCTTGTATTTTTGAAATATTTTGTGAACTTCGGATTAAAAATCAGAATTCCTTAGAAATTTCTTAAAAACATATAATTCCTTAAACAATTCCTTAAAAAACCAAAAAAGGTTGAAATTTCCTTAGTTTTATACCTAGGGGTCGGTTGTATCAAGCCCGTTTAGCGGTGGATAAGTTCAAAATAGATTTCACCTTTAAACGGTGGATAAGTTCAAAATAGAAAGCAAGTCTGCCGTTTTATTCAACAAGCGAACTAAATGTTTTTGACCTTAATACTAAGATACTGTTTACAACTACATATTCAGTGCATAATATTCAAGTTGACTCATTGCCTCAAAGGCCTGACTAGGTTTCTAGTAGGTCTCTAGCCTAACATTATTATAAAATCATATGTAATATTTAATTATAAAACTGTACATAGGGGAGAAAATAAAAAAAGAGAGATGTAAGAGTGTTATTTAATTTTGACTTTTAAGCTAAACGGGTTTGATTGATACAACCGACCCCAGGTTGGCTATTCATTCATGCTCAAGACACCACTTGCTTCTCAGCGGTTTTGTTCCATATTTTCTTAAACAACATTTCATCCACTGCACTTCACGACCCATCCTAGAGCCTTACGAAAGTTTCTGTGTCTCCACGCATAAATAAATGGGTTGAGAACGCTGTTCAGATACGCTACAGGCTCGCATGTTTTGCTCAAGAAATAATAGAACTTGTATTTACTGCATGATGTGCAAAAAAATTTCAAATGAATGAAAACAGCGAAAGGCGAATATGTTAGGAAAAAGAGCGATAAGATGAAGAATATTGTCACCAAAAGCCGCTTGTCAGATTTCATTCTTTTAATGTTTTCTTTAGTTGCATTGTCTATATTTTCCATAGATGTGACTTCTTTCAGTCTCCGCCTTTTCTTTGCCTTCAAGTTGAAGTATATGAAAGCAAATAAGAGAGTCAATGAGAAAAATGAGAAAGTTACATGTAGATGTGTATCCAGTAAGATATACACTTTGTCAGACATTCCCATCAGGCGGAATGTGCAGAAAAATCCACGGTAAATCCACGAAATGGCCACAATTATTGCAGCTGATTTTAGTGTCATAACTCGACGATACAAGAAAGGTTTTTTAATAGCCACACTTCGGTCGATGATGAGTATTACTATTGTGACTATAGCGTTAGTGACTGTTATATAAGAGCTGTAATCACCAATTTCTAGTGTTTTCGAGTAATATTTGTTTTGATAAATACCAAAATGGTAAACAGCATACAATGGATCCACAACAAGTCCTGTCAACAAATCAGCGACTGCAAGGTTTGCTACAAATACTATTGGTACGTTACGAAAGCATTTGTAAGGATCGTAGCAGATGGCAGCTAGAAGAAGTGTGTTGGCAATTATTGTAGCAAGCGATATTACTAGCAGTAGAATACCAATCGTTAGCGAGAGAACTCTCTCAAATGTCGTATATTCTGTTGAACTGTTGTTTGATTCCATCATTCCATTCGTGCAGTGCTGTTCTTTAATGTTCTTATTTATTGTCCTGTAATTAAAAAAAAACTATTGACATCTTTAGAACTTGGTTCATGCATTATGCATGCATGAAGGATATTTGCCTGACAATATAATCACATAAATAGTTGAAAACGTGACATCAAATGCGCATTGACCAGCTGTTAAGTTCAAAATAGAAAGCCAGTTTATCGTTTTATTTAACAAGCAAACTAAATTGTTTTTAACCTTATTACAAAGATACTGTCTACAACTGCATATTCAGTGCACAAGTTGACTCATTTAAGAGAGATGTAAGACTGTTATTTAATTTTGACTTATCCATCGTTTAAGCTAAACGGGCTTGATACAACCGGCCCCGGGTCAGCAGAAGAAGGTGGTCTGTACCTGTACCGATTTTTGTAACGTGAACGGGATTTAGCGTGTTTGGGGTGTTTCCCAAGTATTTTGTCATGATGTTGTCTATCAGATATCATCAGCAAGCAAGACAGTGTGAACGTGGCACATATTTCCTAGACTTGTCCTAGACCTGATCTATGCCTCTAGTGCAAACGCGGGTATAGATTTTTGTTGTTGTCAGGAATGCGCGCTAGCCTCTAAAATTTAAAACCGTAGCTACTATCAGTTAAGAGAGAATTACCTGTCAAAGCAAACTTGTACAATTTCAAAAAGATTTGCACCTGTTACATTTTCCTCCCTGTTCACATAATTTCGGATCGCAATTTCTGGGCTCTTAACTAACCTTTCATGAGATAATAAAATCAGCTGAATGTCCTTTTTTCCAAATATAGACCAAAAAATAAAATCTACACTGAATATAACCCAGTTATGCGACATTAAAGCTGTGATTGTCATGTAGAATTTCTACTTTCTTTCATCGTGTACTATATCTAAATGGCGGGCGGGCTAAACCGCGCAATTTTGCCATAAGATATAGAAGTCACTTCTCCGTAGGTTTGAGTCAGAAATCTATAGTCCCCCAATATTATTGCCTCCTTGTCTTCTTTATTTGATCAACTTCATGTCCTAACATTTACGTTTCTTATGGACATTGTCGTGTCACAATTAACATGTAAATTTAGAGGCAGTAATGCATTGCGTGGTTAGATATGAGATATGTGCCTATAGTTGGGGACTTCACTATAAACTTTTTAGCGTGTTCTTTTATGTTATTTCGACTTCTTGTCTGGGGAAATTCTATCGAAGAATTACAAGTGAAACTATTAGAATACTAAGCTTCATACGAAGCCGTTTATGTACGCTTTATAGGTGAAATAAAACGTCAATTACTACACGTGTGGAGTCGAATTATTTGATAAACACCGGTTGAAACTACGCTCTCGTTCGCGAGACGTGACAGACATCCATTTTTTTTCAAATGGCCATTACTGTAATCTTGATTGCATCAATGAACAACATCAATGAATGCAAGCCGAAAAACCACCTTTCATTATTTTGCAAAATAATTTCCCTACACCTTTGCCCGAGTATTCTTGCAAGTTTACTGTTGATTAAACCAAGGGCCATACTCAGACTGCATGAATCCTGACGAAGGTTCTTAGGTCGGGAACGTTTTCTTCTATGTACACACTGGGCAATTACCTTTCCATTTGATAAGAAGTTACTGGAAGACGCTGCTATGCTGCCCTTTGGTTATTTTGCATGTTTTTTTGACAATTGACAAAATGTTTCCGTGTTTATAAGTAATATAGGTTGCATGTCTACTTTATTTAGAATTTAAAGCCCGGCGCACACTGAAGGAAACAGCTGAGCTGAGCGTCACACGTGACTGTTAGCTGATCTGTTTCCTCAAGTGTGCGGTGTCGTATTCTTTTTTCTGGCACGCGTAATATCGGCGTCGCATATTCGACATGTTGAATAATTCTGTGCACGAGTGAACATTTCCTCACAGTGTGCGCGCGTCCTGAGCCATCGGCTCAGCAATTGGGGCGAATGTAAGTAACGTTACATTAACATTAAAGAACGTAACGTTATATGTGCGTCTTGTATTCTGGCAAATCTCGTGGACTTTAATATCTTCAAAATTTCTTACTTTAGTTTTGTACTAAAATCGATCTAATTTTTCATAGCATTCTCCGATCGCTATTATGAAAAGAAAATTCATATATATTATATCGGATACGGTCTATTTTTTATCATCAGCATATAATAATTTTTAAAAAATATTTTAAGAATAAGCTTTCCCTACCGTGATATCGCTCTCGTTGTTTTCAAGAATGCATGGGATTCACTTTTATGCCAAGTTTTATGCCATGTAGCCGCTGCATGTAACTCTCTGTAGTGAAGCCCGAATGGCGTTATGATGCAGTCAAACCAGTTTTTGTATTACTTCAAACATCCAATTGAGAATAGGAAAGCCTCATTCTGGAGAATCATTAGCCAATAGCTTTTTGAAATTACATACGGGTTCTCCCGAAGATCAATCATGCTAATACAGTTATACTCTGGTGTCCTATAATTAAATTTTGTTATTGTTTTAGGACTTAGCTTGTCACGAAGTGCTACATATAGCTTGAAGAATGCAAATAGCTACATAGTTTTTGGGAATAAGCAACATTTAAATCTCTATTCAGACCACCATATTACGATAATTACTTTTATCCAAGCTGAGCCTGAATTATGAGAACGAACTGTACCATTAAACAAAATTCTCCGAAAATTTACACCTGTTACATTTTACACCCTCTTATAATTGACATGATGATTTTGGATCACAATTTGTGCGCCCTTAAACGTTTTACAAATAATCTAGTCTGTCCTCCTTAAAAGAAGTTTAATTTCGCGAACATATTGATTATATTCTTACATACTATAAACTTTTAACTTTCTAACCGGTTCTAATTCAGTTCAGTAAATATTTTAGGGATAACTCTACTCTAGACTTTTCTTACCGTACGTAATATTACTCTTAGGCCCTGTTTATATGAGAGGCGAGACGGGACGTTTGCCGGGACGGGACGTTTTTCCATCTCGCGTTTACATGATTGTTTTATACGGGATGTTTTCTCGCGAGAATACCCGTGACGTTTATGAAAATCATTGAAAATGGCCATATTGGAACTTTGTCTGTTTAGATGACGCGTGACAATAATCAAATAGTGCAATGTCAGCGTAATATTGTCCCGATCAAAGCGGGATGGAGCGTTTATATGACAAAAAACGTCCCGCTTAAAGCGGGATCCCGGTTGCTCAAAGCGGGATCCCGCCTAGGCGGGACGGGACAAAAAACGTCCCGCCTTCATATAAACACAGCAGGAAAAATATTATACAAACATATACATGGCGAGATCCCGGTCATCGTCCCGTCCCGGCAAACGTCCCGTCTCGCCTCTCATATAAACAGGGCCTTAATTGCTTATTTTATTTACAAATAAAACTTTTAATTTGTATTTACATGCATATACGTCATGTAGGTGTAATTTTCTATAATGAAGGAATAGGAGTTAAACTAATGTAGTCAAACCAGTTTCTGTATTAACTCAAACACTTAATTCAGACCTTGGGAACCTCACTCTAATCATTCGTCAATAACTTTTCAAAATTATATACGGCGACAAAGACCAATCATGCTAAAAATACTGGTGTAATTAAATTTTTGTCATTGTCTTGAACGCAGACTTTGCTTGTCTCGAAGAGTTACATAGTTTGATGAATACAAATGTATAGTTTCTAGGAATAAATCAACATTTAAATCTGTAGTCACACCACCATATTAGGATAATTACTTTTATCTAAGCTAAATTATGAGAACGAACTGTATCGAAAAGAGTATCGAAAAGAAGAATTCCCTGGAAATTTGCACCTGTTACATTTTGCACCCTATTGACATTTTGAATCGTAAATTGTGTGTTCTTAAACGTTTTACGAACAAGTCGGCCCTCAAGGGGATTTAATTTCTTGAATATATGACTCTTCACGTGCAAGTGCTTTTTGCGTGTAGCTTCAAGCAATGCCTATTTTTTCATTTTCTCAAACATTTGACCTTTTTCGTCCACGGCACTTCACGACCCATCCTAGAGCCTTGCGAAAGTTCCTGTGTCTCCACGCATAAATAAATGGGTTGAGAACGCTGTTCAGGTACGCTACAGGCTCGAATGTTTTGCTCAAGAAATAATAGAACTTGGATTTTCTGCAGGATGTGCAGAAAAATTTCAAATGAATGAAAACAGCATAAGGCGAATATGTTAGAAAAAAGAGCGATAAGATGAAGAATATTGTCACCAAAAGCCGCTTGTCAGATTTCATTTTTTTAATGTTTTCTTCAGTTGCATTGTCTATATTTACCATAGATGTGACTTCTTTGAGTTTCCGTCTTTTCTCTGTCTTTAAGTTGGAGTATATGAAAGCAAATAAGAGAGTCAATGTGAGAAATGAAAAAGTTACATGTAGATGTGTATCAAGTAAGAGATACGCTTTGTCAGACATTCCCATCAGGCGAATTGCGCAGAAAAATCCAGAGTAAATCCACGAAATGGCCACAATTATTGTAACTGATTTTAGTGTCATAACTCGACGATACAAGAAAGGTTTTTTAATGGCCACACTTCGGTCGATGATGAGTATTACTATTGTGACTATATCGTTGTTGACTGTGATTAAAGCGATGTAGTGAGAAACAAGGGGGATTTTCAAGTAATGTTTGTTTTGATAAATACCAAAATTGTAAACAGCAAGCAATGGATCAACAGCAAGTCCTGTCAACAAATCAGCGACTGCGAGGTTTGCTACAAATACTATTGGTACGTTACGAAAGCATTTGTAAGGATCATAGCAGATGGCAGTTAGAAGTAGTGTGTTGGTAATTATTGAAACAAGAGATGTCACCAGCAGTAGAATACCAATCGTTAGCGAGAGATCTCTTTCAAATGTCGTATATTCTGTTGAACTGTTGTTCGATTCCATCATTCCATTCAGCGGTGTTCTCTAATTTAGACCTGTATAATTAAGAAAGTAGTGATGGAAATGTAATGGGAATTCAAAACAAAAATCTGCCAAACCCAAAGCAAAAAACAAGAATGAGAACTTTGTTTGGACATGCTCCATGCTCCTCCGCGTGAATCCTTCCTCGGCATGCTAAAAGGTTGGCGAAGATTTCACACACAATTAAAATAACCTAAATAAGACTCAACCTGAATAAGACTCTAAAGGTCTGTTCACACGATCGAACCAATTCACTTCTGACGTATGAAATAAAGTCGGTTATTGATAAAGCAGTACTGTATTGGCTTCAGTATATTAAGGGTGGATTCCCACCTACAGAGAAATAGTTCGCTAGCGAAATATTTGCATATTTTCTTTTGAATTGAAAACATTTACACCTGTATTGAAAAAGCTCGCTCACACTCACTGAGTGTGACATAGAAATTTTATTATTACTGATCAATGAGAAAATTCTTTCTTAGCGGTCAATGAATAGATTTAAGGTAAAACATTATCAAGCCAAGGTAAGGCAAGATCAAGCCATTGTTTGACTGAAAAAAACGCCATGGAAAAGTTATGAGAAGATTGAGAATTGAGATTTCCCACTCAATGAGTTTGAGTGTGAGTGAGCTTTTAGAATACAGGCGATAGTCATGTTGAACTAATTTATTTATACCGCTAAAATTATAAAGAAAATCTGCAAATATTTCCCTTTAAAACGATTAATATATGGAGACAATTTGATACGTTATACGTTACGTCATGGTTTTCAAATTTATACGGCAATTATTCACATGCATGCACGTATGTATCGGCTCAGTCGTCGTTTTCAAATTCTTCCACTCTTGAGAGCGTTTTTAGATTCTTCCGTTTTTAGTAGGCGAAAACGCCGGATACGTGTTGTCGTGTGGACGCATAACCGTCAAAATATTTTTGCGTTTTCAAAGTGTTCAAAAGAAGAACAATGTGTATATAGGCAGTGTTTAGCCTGAAGCTACAGAAGGCACATGCAGCCTTGCATGAACTGAAAGAGTCGTCCAATAACAATAACTCAATCAGGACTCAATGTGACTGGGCCTCATGAAAACCCATTAGTAATTTCGAAAAGCAATTGCCGAATTGGCTACTATTTCATCAGAATCAGAGAATTTTGCACTCGCTATTATAAACGTGTGACTTAATTTTGGAAACAGGATGGTTATTTTATCGGATTCAGTTTATTTTTTTTCAATAGGATATAATAATCTCGTAAAATGTACTAAAATATCATAAATTAATAGGAATAACTTTGTATACTTTACCCTACGGTATTATGGCTGTAGCTCTTCAGTGCTGTTTTCAAGCTTAGGATTCACTCCTATACAAAATTTCATACAAGTATATATTCCAAGCAGCTGTTACTTAGTTAGTGAATGACTTGGCGTGCAGTTAGACTAATGAAAAGAAACCAGCTATTGTTTTAATTTAAACACCCAATTAAAGCCTGTTAGCCTCATTCTGAGGAAATATTAGCCAATTGCTTTTCGAAATTACTAATGAGTTTTCAATTTTTTCATGAGGCCCAATCATTTAATATATAGTTATTGCATGGTGTCCTGATTGAGTTATTGTTGTTATTGTTCAGGGCAAATACTTCTTACCTTGTCTCAAAGAGCTACGTAACTTGCATGGTGAATACAAATGCGTAATTTTTTTGGTATACCGAAGAAAAACAATTCACCGGAAACTTGCACCTGTTACAGTTTACACTCTATTGACATGATGATTTTGGATCGCAATTTGTGCGCTCTTAAACGCTATACAAATAGGTCTGGCCTTCTTCAAGAAATTTAATTTCTTGAACATATACGACTCTTTCAGTTCATGCAAGGCTGCATGTGCCTTCTATAGCTTCAGGCTCAGCACTGCCTAAACAAATTATTCTTCTTTTACACACTTCAGGAATTCATCTTTCTATAGCACAAGTTAAATTCTAGTTATTTTTTTAACATCAACTATATATAATTACGAATTTGTATAAATGCCTTATACTTTATCTTGTACCTGAGGATTAGCAAAAACCAAATACCTTTTTCAGAATATATTGTATATTTCAAAATTATTTGTTCTCGTGCAGGTTTTGTTTGAATTAACAAAAAATGACATTGAAATGTGATTGGAAATGATAGCGAATCTCACGTCAATTCAAACAGTATATTGTTTTTTTGCACAACACATTTGCTTTTGCACACATGCTCAAAGACAATACTTGTATAACGCTTGTCGTATATAGTTGAAATGTACGTAAAAATAGATTTAGCTAAAAGTGAACAGTTTTAGGTTTAACAGTTTGTGTCCTAACAGATAAACGTAGCTTTTTTGTAACATTGCAATCATTTTTAATTTTTCAACAATTTTTACAATCATCAATTGTATACTTAAAAATTACTTATCTACGTGGGTATTGTTAAAATCTAATATATTCACTTTAATGTTTACGACACGCATGTTCAATAAATTTGCACCATTTCAATATGATGTATATTAACTAAACATAGAAACTCAATCTTCAATTATTCAATGAACTGCATACTGAGAAATGATGCATGACAATCCTTTATGAGTGTATTTGGTTTCTTTAGTAATCATATTAATATAATTTATTTACCATCTTTGGTGGAAAAATACAATGTTATTACAACTCTTGAAAATATATTAGGCATATATAGTATGTCGATCGTATTTGTACACAAAAGCCGGGTTATACGAATTGAACAATTCAAAGTTTGTGGGGAATTTTGACGTCTCCTGACATTCACCATTCGCTTTATCTGTGTGCCTTCGGTTAGGTAGCCTACCCATGAGTGGTTATCACTTGCGTGCGTTCACCGCGTAATATGAAATAGCACACACGTACTTTGTATGGACTACCTATACGTTCGACTCATCCGTGCTCAGGACACCACTGGTTCCTCAGCTGTGTTGGTTTCACGATTTGTTCCATATTCTCGAACGTTCGTCCTCTTTCGTCCACGACACTTCACGACCCATCCCAGAGCCTTGCGAAAGTTCTTGTGTCGCCACGCATAGATAAATGGATTGAGAACGCTGTTCAGATACACTACGGGCTCAGATGTTTTGCTCAAGAAATAATAGAACTTGGATTTACTGCATGATGTGCAGAAAAATTCCAAATGAATGAAAACAGCATAAGGCGAATATGTTAGAAAAAAGAGAGATAAAATGAAGAATATTGTCACCAAAAGCCGCTTGTCAGATTTGATTTCCTGAAGTTTTTCTCTAGTTGTGTTGTCTATATTTTCCATAGATGTGACTTCTTTGAGTCTCCGTCTTTTCTGTGTCTTCAAGTTGGAGTATATGAAAGCAAATAAGAGAGTCAATGAGAGAAATGAGAAAGTGACATGTAGATGTGTATCCAGTAAGATATACGTTTCGTCAGACATTCCCATGAGGCGGAACGTGGAGAAAAATCCGGAGTAAATCCACGAAATGGCCACAATTATTGCAGCTGAATTTAGTGTCATAACTCGACGATACAAGAAAGGTTTTTTAATAGCCACACTTCGGTCGATGATGAGTATTACTATTGTGACTATAGCGTTGTTGACTGTTATATAAGAGCCGTAATCACCAATTTCTAGTGTTTTCGAGTAATATTTGTTTTGATAAATACCAAAATTGTAGACAGCATACAATGGGTCCACAACAAGTCCTGTCAACAAATCAGCGATTGCGAGGTTTGCTATGAATATTATTGGTACGTTACGAAGACATTTGTAAGGATCGCAACAGATGGCAGCTAGAAGTAGTGCGTTGGCAATTATTGAAGCAAGGGATAGAACCAGCAGTAGAATACCAGTCGTTAGCGAGAGAATCCTCTCAAATGTCGTATATTCTGTTGAATTGTTGTTTGATTCCATCATTCCATTCAGTGCTGTTTCTTATGCTTTTGTCCTGTAAAATTAAAAAAAAATTAAGTAGTGACTCCTTTTAGTCGACTGGGGTTCATTTCTCAGTTCTGTAGTCTGACAACTGCATGATTATGTTTTGAAACAGTAACATGCGAAAAGAGACCTTTTCAAGTGACATTTTCTTTGCTCTTAGTTTATGAGACAAGAAGTAATTCATAACCTGTATAAAATTATGTGTGATTAATTCTCGTACGGTATAATATCTTTTGTTACAATTGAGTCAGACTGTCAGTCAATATAAAGAGTTTCTATAGTTTAAAACGAAACGTGAAAAGTGAAAATGGTTGATGGAAGATGAAACTATATATATACGAAGAGAGTTTCGGTGATTAATCAGTATACTCAATATTTATATATCAGGGGCCGGTTGTATTAAGCCTGTTAAGCTAGCTTAAACGATGCATGATAGGTCAAAAATAAATAACTTTCATAAATAAATTACATCTCTGTCGAACGAGCCGAACTTGAATATTATACACTGAATACATCGTTGTAAACAGTATCTTTGTATTAAGGTCAAAAACATTTAGTTCGCTTGTTGAATAAAACGATAGACTTGCTTTCTATTTTGAACTTATCCACCGTTTAAGCCAAACAGGCTTGATACAACTGGCCCCAGAGGTTTTTTAGAAAATCGAAGACAATTAAAATATTTTCAAGACCGAACCAGGAGCAGAAAATTTTAGCAAATTTTAGAAAATTTTAGTCCTGTGCGGTGCCGATAATGTCGTGATAATTGCGTCATATACAGAGCGGAAATTTTGAACCACATTCAGCGTCCGGTTATATTTTTTAAGATCTCACTGCAAGTCTTGCGCAATATATAATTGGGAATATAGTCTGGTAGTAATATCATAACTATTCACCATTCAGAACTGTGATAAATATTGGGTGCTATTAAATACATTTGGTATACGAGCAATTAATGAAAGGCGTGTAGCACAGACAGACTTTTATATCATGCTTATTGTCATGTGCAGTGGCAGTGATCATGAGTGACTGGCAGCGCTTCGTGTCTACATAATGCTCCTAGAACTGAGGAAAATCACGACATTTACTTGGCATTAAAAAAAAGCAACGTGGCTCCGACGTCGGGTAATTATCCATGGTTACTTTGACTTCACTCTTTGGTCATTCCTGACGCAATGATCTCGTTATATAACACAGGAGAGCAGTCATAGTGATATTAAGTCATATAGTACAGAAAGGCCACTACAATATATAGTATGTTCACTAACCTGAATGCTTTATATTATCTTTATACAAAAATCAGAATAACGTTTGATGTGTCTTTCCTAATCTTCAGTCGGTATTATTAATAAAGGTTGAATACCCGGAAGTTGGTGTCATTGAACATCGTCTATTTCCCTCTTTTTATTTGCATTGAAAGTTAATAATGATGTGACGATTAACTTTATAGCTGACGTATTTCACATCAATGAAAAATGACAAGCTTACTGTGACATGTCTTAATAGATTAACATTGTTATTTTTTCATCTTTAATCCAGCTTTCTTAAAAAGAGATGCCGTTCAACATAAAGCCCTTTTCAGGAGTGAATCGAATTGTCAAAACGAGAGATTTTGAAATATTGCGGGAAGTCGACAAATAGTCTGAGCGCTTTTATAAATTAAAACATTATTTCATATATAATGTATAGGCAGATTATGTTAATTTTGTAATGAAAAGGACATTTTTCATTAAGAAAGATTGTAAGTGACGGCGAACGAACATACTTTTGAAATGTGTATGACTTGATAAAATATTTACTGTTTTGTAGCAGGTGAAGCTGTGATACTTTTATGCATATTTAATGTACTGAATCCGTATTTCCAGTGCAGATAACATGAAAAACCATAAACTTGAGAGTCGTATTAAGATTTCTAGGCCTCAAATGACCTGAAAAATATAACGAGGATTTTGTGTTTTTTAATGATACTCCATGAAACTTATTAAAAACACATTTTTATTTGTATTTTTTGGGGGCATACAGGTATTCTCACTATTCTGTACCTAAATACTGTTGGTAGCACAGTATCGTGTCAAGCATTTTCATGCAGTCACAGGCTCATTTCCACTCTTTGTTCTTTTTAAGAACATTCAGCTTTCTCAATGTTGAGAGTGAGTTGAGCAATCGAGTTTTATGAAAAGTCAGACTTCACGCAAGGAAATATTGGCAATAAATCTTTCGATATGAACATCGGGCAACAGTCTACGAACTTCTCTGCCCTCGGCATTTTGTCCACAATCTCCCATCGGTCTTTTTCAATGTCATAACACTCGACTGTATCATGGAAATTACCGCTGTCCTCACCGCCGCATATTAGTAGGGTCGTGTCGAATGCCGCAATGCCCGCATAGGACCTGGGTACGATATTGCTAGAAATCATGTTCCATTGGTCAAGGGTCGTGTCATAAGTTTCACATGAATTGTGGGATACACCAGGGGCGCGCACTCCACCAATGACGTAGATCTTATCCTGGATGTAAGCAGCAGCCGATGATGCTCGTGCAACATTCATGGGCGTGGTCAGTGTCCACGTGTTTTGAGATGGGCTGTAACATTCGACCGATCGTAGAAATGTGTTTTCGTCCTTCCGACCACCAATGGCGTATAGGTTTCCATGGCAACTGACCAAAGAAGCTCCGCTACGTTCCTCGTGTAATGAAGTCACTAAGGTCCAGTTGTCTTTACATGGATCGTACCGCTGTACGATATTAAAGCGGACGCTGTTACTTCTTCCACCCACAACGTAAAGAAAACCGTCCAGTACTTTCACTGCCGCAGCTCGAGTGGGGACTGGCAACGAGGCTTTGGAGAGCCACGAGTTGGCGGAGGGGTCGAAACATTCTACCACATTCGAACTATCATCACTTGAAGCTAGGCCGCCAACATTATAAACCAGACCGTTGAAAATGGCTGAGGAACTAAAAATTCTCGGTGTGGGCACTGCGGCCATTTCTAACCATTCTTTACTGGTCGGAATGTATGCGTATACATCCGGAGTAAGCACACAAGTAACCATGGCAATATGGCGTCTTGGTGGCGCAAGCGGGTTGATTGTGGAATGTTCCAAATTCTCCGAAACTGTATACTCCGTTATAGTTTCCAAGATTTCGAAGCGAACTTCTTCATCGGGCAGTGCTAAGACATCATCTTGGATAGTATTCTCAATGTAGTAACCCGATAGGTGTTCAAGTTTTATTAACTTAAACAATTCGGCAAATTGAGTCCACCTTTCGTCGGATTTCTCTTCACACCAGCGCTTCAAAGCTTCATAAACAACCTCTTCGTCTGGAACACGTAGATTGTTGCAAGAAAGCAAGAGCTTTAAATCTCTAGCGGAGAGTTTTACAAAGTCAGCCGTGCGTGAGACGCTGTTAAAGTTATCCAATATGAATCGAAATGTGTGCGTAAACAGCGCACGGCTTGAAAATCTGTGGGACCAAACCAGCGTACGGAGGCAATTCTCCGGGCTTAGAGCTTCAACCATGATTTCTACTGCCTTGTGCTTCAACCCCGGTAGTATTAGATAGTCCGCAGCGAGGTATAATTCTCTAGCATCATCAGAGTTCGGGTTCGTTATAACACCAGTGTATATATAATCCAAAACAAGAGTCATTGTTGCGGGGTCAATATTGTCCATCTTGATCGTCTGTTTGTTCTTTTCGCTCATATCCACTGTAAATAAGCTCTGAAAAAACGATGAACTAGCAGCAAGGATGATTTTATGCGCTTGGAATGCTTTTTCTTCTGTGGAAATTATAACGTCGCATAGCTGACCATTCCGACGAAATTCGGCCATGGTATCTGCAAGCTGGTTTGTATAGCTTCCATTTGTCCCGCAATTTTCAGCGCTAGGCGACTCAGGTGAATACCTTTGTATATCCATATTCACATTGCCTTTAATTACGCATTGATTTACCAATGCATTCGCCATCAACTGGAAGAGATCTTCGCTCTTCGACGTAAACGTAACTGATTGACCTGAAGTATGTATTACCTTTCTTTAGTTGTTGAAATTTCAAATATTTTCACTAATAAACTTATTCTATTTCCGGCTGTTGGTCGAAACCGCTTCATTTTGTCAAAGTTTTTCCCTTTTTTTCCACATTTGTATTCAGTATCTATTATTTAGTTTATATCAGTTCAAAAGGTATTCAGCTGAAGCAATTAGTCTGTGGTTTGCACGGCTGAAGTTACAACTTATGAAATTTTGATGGATTATTTTGATACGTGTATGAGGCAATGTTATGAGACAATCTTTCATCAGATTTGATCAAATTGGGCTATATTGCCAATTTTGCGGTTTATTTCACGTATATAATTACTTTTTAGACCGTTTACCATTCTTGCTGCGATTTTAGGAGCAATTTAGGTATTTTTTTCTTTTGATGATATGAATGAACCAATTAATTATGTATATGCCCTATTATAGTTTAGGAATATATGCAAACCATTAATATAACCTAAATTCGTACAACTATAAATCTCTTGGATAAAAAAACACCGTTAAAAAGGCATTCTTTAATGCAGATTATAGCATTTCCTTATTCACAAGAAGAGGGTGTAAAGACTCAGCAGAATTTCCAAGATTTTAGCCTATCGGTGACCGAACCTCGTCCCAGGGCCAAGTTCATTTACCTCCGCTCACCCCACGCTGCGGCAAAGACTGAGTGAGCGACTGAAACTACTTTAAGTGCACCTGAACTAGGATCCACTCAGCCGTTTTGGCTCACTTTTTTGCACTACCTTGAAAACGTGACTGATTAATATGAATTTGGGTTGGATTCAAGTTAGGATTATATGCTAGGATTAGGATTGGGATTTCAGAGTTTTATTCATTGTTCAGTCGTTAATAGGATTAAAAGACTTGAGTAGGAAACAAAGTAAAGTATTTTGGGATGGGGATCTGGATACAAGTGGTCTATTTGTTAGCAAAGATGAACTGTGGGTTTCTATTTCTCTGAAAACCTCAATGCAACCTCCTTCCGTTATCTGAACCAAGGAACTGAAAGATATATGGACGATAACTTGTTTGTAACGTAAACTCGAACAAATTTGCTGTTTATCTGACCGATAAATTGGTGGCGGTGTTGAGGCTAGAGAAGAGCATCGTGGTTTGCATTGTGTATCCATATAGTTTAACTGGACGTCTGGACGAGAGCCGAGAGGGTATGAGCGTCTGGTATCTGAGAACGAGTGTAGGGGCTTACAGCCCTAATGTCGAGTAATACAGAATGTTCTAATGTGTTCTGTGCTAATTGCTAAAACATTTTGCGTACAAGATGGTTTGCAAACAAACCAAAGTCTGGGAAAAGTTACGACGTTGACTCAGATGGGTTAATATTATTAGATTAGCCCTAATCAACTCGCAATGCATCTCTCTTTATCTTATTGCTAATGTTGCTAATCTCAATATTATGGTTTATTTGGTGTTATAAATATAATGAATAAAAATCCAAAATAAATTTGGAGTTGCAACACAGGTATAATAATATAGGCAAAAATGTTCTCCGTGTTTACCATACGTACCCTTGACGGGCATATTCAAACCTATTTAAACGAAAATTTGTCCCTTTCCCTCACCAGCTCACTCATTACGAGTGTAAATGTATATATATATATATATATATATATATATATATTCAACTATAAGATCAAAAGTGTTTGTCACGTCTGACCACAATGATAGACAAAGCTACTGACCATCATCAACACTCGATAATTATAAGGTGAGTTAAAATTATGACCAACACGTATAGTTATCAAGTATCAAAAAAAATTCTTATGGCTGTTTTCGCGATGCAATGCTATTTTTACTTGACCAACACGTGGCCTGCCATTGTTCGCCGTGACAATCCAATATTATGATACTATCATCAATTCATGCACATGTGTGTTTGAAATTTGAACAATACTCACAAGTAACGGTCTTTGTTCGACGTTGTTTCGACCGTTTGATTGGCTTCATTGAAATGGTATTCGCTCAGCGTGATCACTTGAGATTACTGTGTGCTTATACACTTGGTGTATAATAATTGACTACATAATCATTCTAGTCGACACGACGCACGCGATATGATGAATTAAGTCTTGTGATCATATATGCACGCTTGATCGACCCTGCATATGTCAACGTTGATGACATTATCAAAATTAAAAGTTTACTATATTATACTGCTGAACCTTGAAATCTATATTTAGTACTATCATACAGTAACTTCATCAGTCTTCTGGTTTTCTCTTTGCAAAAGAAAATTTGAACTAACCCGAAAGATAACCTTGTTTATACTGTATGTCTGTGTTATATACCATACTGTTGCAAACAGTTTTATCTACAAACCCAGTGTTCCTAAAGAAGAACTAAGTAGCTATTTTTGGATATATTGAATCGGTTGAAGTCAACAAGTAGATATAGGTATTGAACTCAACAAGTGCAATAATTGTTTAATGTCGTGATTGGTCAGCAAAAGAACCTGTAATTAGGGTAAATTTTCCTCGAAATTGTTCTCCTTGCAGGTCCAGTGATTTAATCTTTTTTGAGCTGCTATACATCGGTGAGACCTAAACCAGAAAACATGTAGTCTTTCAGAGTTATTAATTTACGTAACTGATTAGTTACAACTATAAAATAGGTTGGGTACTCGAGTCCATACTTGCTAATAACATCAAGATTTTAATCAAAGACGGAGTTAGCCAGTTTATCCAATGAGAGGCATAGTTGAATTACTTGAATATCATTTCGCGATGCTGCAACACGTTTGTGGTCGTAACAACTTGACAAAAAATTACAAACTGACAACACCGCTCGATGCTGGAGTTGAGCCAACGAGGGCTCGAGGTGATAACTTAGATAATTTCAACGAAGCTCTGCAAATTGACATTATTAACGCCATTTAGCAACGTGTTAACAGACTGACTACAACTTGTTCATCTATGCAATCTTTCTTTTTTTAAACTAGATGGGTGTAGATTGGGTCTTGGATGGACGGCAACGACTCTGTAAAATGACGTGCGCCCGTATGATTGTCCTCTCGGTTATGAGGGTGACGCAAGATGAAAAAACTTGAGAATGCAATTCAACACTCGAGTATTATTGACGGAAATGCGCCATAGACGTCTTCATCTTCAGAAGGTAGTTAATAATAGATTTCCTCTTTCTGAAAGCTGCTTCGTGTTTGATTATGACCTAATACACGGTATTCCTGTTTTATGCAACCCACCATATCCGAAATTCTTTCAACAACCTTTCTTCTCTTCAAACACCAGCACCTGGTTGCCGCTAATATGCTTTCAAAACACACGCGCATTGCAATATACACATCGCTGTTAACCCATTGAGCCTAAATTATTCATAGAGCCATGCGATTGCCAGTGTTTGAAAACAAAGAACAATTTTGATACAAACTAAGCACCTGCCGTTACTGCGGACATGCGTGCTTTTGATTGGCGCACACATAACATGTGCTATCTCGCTTTGACCTTCTTACACCGTGTCTCCCCCTGTCACTACAACATGACCCACTCTCGTAGTATTTCGACCTACTTGGTTGGACCTAACAGCTCAACATGTAGTCAGAAAATTTTCAAAAGTTAGCGTACCGGAAGTCAGAAAATATTATGAGGATAATTTTCAAGCTTCAATGGTTACTTCTGTTCCATGTAATTGACGGCGTAGGTAATATTTGTGGAGTCGAGTGCTGAAATATTTTAATATGGCTTTCAGTTAAAACTAATGTGAGCTGCTTCTTGTTCCACTGCATTTAGCGCGGTCGTATACGGGCAGACACAACTCGAGAGAAGGTAACACATGTACGCCTCGGTTGAGACCAAGAGTGTATAAATGGGCTTGTAAAGATATTCTTAGCTGTGAAAATGATAAAGATTGCACGGGATCAAATGAAATCTGTATATGCGACGAAGATTGTGGAAAATTATGCCGAAATCCACGTAAGTTGCCGTGTTTTGTCTTTCACTTGCACAAATTGTTATGAGAATGGCTATAATTTCCCGCTGTTGTTATGCCGCATACGAGTTTTAACAAGCAGAAAAATTACAACGGTGTACAGAAAGACATTACTTAGAAATTTTCCATCTGTTTGTATAGGCGTATTAAGTAAATTCTCGTATCTTTGGCATCTCGGTGTATTCGCTTAGGCATGTAAACACAACAATATGCCACAAGGCTGTGTTTATGCCTATTAATTAAAAAGTCAAGACTGTATATTTCTTGACCATTTTGCATCGAAACCGCAAACCGAAATTTCGCAAGTTTTTTTTTACTACGGAAAAAAGGAATTTTATACCTCCTCTCCCAAACCCGATATCGCATTGGCATCAAAAGTTGAGATAACAGGCTAAAACAATAACGTGAATCTGCCCGAGTGAAATATGTCTTGGCATGAAATAATTCCTTGCATCACATACTCATCATCTGTTTACCAGCATATTAATTTCAAAGCAATATTTCAGATATATGTTTTGACATACTATAGTAATTTTATTGTGATTGTCAAGTCGATTTAGACCGGGCATTGTAATACCCGTATTAACGGTCCGAAGCAATTTGTCGGGACGTTTCTTCGCGTTGAAGTGTTTTGTGATTCGTCCATGAATGTTAGTCTGCGCTGATTAAAGTTGCACGCGCCGCGCTGATAACGCCGGCGGTATTTTCCCATTTTGCACATACAGTTTCTGAACTGGCGCTTCTGTATACCGACCGTGTGCAGTGATAATCGATAATTTCGTTAACACATTTTACTGATTTTAGATAGTGAATTTTTTCCGGTGAACTTATATAAACGGAGTGTATCGGGAATGGTTTTGACTTATCGATTAAAAATTCTGATCATTTTTACAAAATGGATCGAGTATAGAGTTTAGAATTACAATCTATAGACTATAATCATAATCTTTGGAATTCGTATGCCTCGCTTGAAGTTTTACGCAGCATATTTTTTATAAAAGACTATTAAATCTCAAGTAGAATATAATTTATATTTACATGTGTAGATTCAATCGTTCATTTTTGAAATAGAATTTCATGCAGCATAAAAGAAAAGCTTTACTATTCCACGTTATTAATTGCCCGTCATCTCACAATTTGAGTGATTTATAGTTCCGTCTTGTGTCCTTTCTTATATCATTTAGAGCCAGCACTGACATATATATAAGATTGTATCATTATTATTTAGAATCCATAACAATTGAATATCTCGAAAATGCATTCATTTATATTTGTCGATGTGATCCGACTTCTCGTAATTTTTAATGAATTTCCTGAAAGCAAAATCAATTTTGCTCTTGCTTGCTTGCTTCTTGCTCTAAAAGAATTATGTCTTTTAATATATAAGCTGAATTCAAATGTAGAATATTTATTTTGAAAGGATACTATATGCATGCATGCATACTGCATAATTTTAACTAGTAAAGATTACATTGTTTAATTTTACTTTATATGCTTGTGCAGTATTAAGCGAGCGCATTTGGCTTCTCTACGGCTGTAGATAGCGTAAAAAATTCTTCACTATTCCCGTTCATGCCGGCATTTTTCACGTTGAAACTATACTTAAAAAAGAGTTTAAAGAGATAGCCTAAAGCGGTGTCTGTAGTATACCATAATAAGTCGTTGTGGTTTATGTCATGAGCTACCTGCCGAGAAATATCCCCAGACTGATAGAGTTTTATTATGTAGGTGCAACTGACCTATTAGTTGATATAACTATATAAAATACCATAAATCATAGCAAGGGGTTTGAACCTGCACGCGAGCATGCCTGCAAGTAATTCACACACAAGCAATGCCATGCAATGAAGCCAACATGGTTGATAGAGAACTCGGGGTCAGGGTAGAAATTGCTAAGCTCTTCAGTACTTCATGAAAACAAAAATTCATAGACATAATAGTAATATATATCAAACAATGTATAAATAGGGGATTATCCTTCTTCTTTTGCGAGACAATGAGATGAACGTTTTCTTGTTTGGTAGTCCTGTCGTTTTATTAACATTGTTTCATTTCAATAGGCAAGAATATGATTTATTTACTCTCGGCACGTGCCCCGAAATACCCCTGACGTTCTATACAAAACACATTATTAATTTTTTTCATCTATTCACAAAAGACTCATAAAACACCACCGCGTTTTAGTTATTGTGCGATTTTGGCGAGCACTTGGTATTAAATTATATAAAATTATATACTCGGCGTCCGCGTTTACGAAAGCAAGATCCAACGATTTTCAAATGATTTCAGAACTGGTATATTTTAGCCTTTATATATATAGAATTAAATGTTATGTATATATCATGCATGCATTCTGCAGCACGGTGCTGTTATCGGCTGACAATCCCGAATAAAAGATAAAGTCAAAGTTTGCTGAATAGTAACTCAGTGGTTATAGGAGGCATTGCCATTGCTGTTTGGTTTAAATAAATAATGTGCAAAAACATTCAAAATTTGAATAATATTCATTATTACGTTGCTGAAAATTACAATAATACAAAACTCTACTTAATTCATATAGTAATACGAATCGATCTGACTATGAGCAATGTACATGCGATCACTAGTTCGTTGCAGGCAGCAAGAATTTTATCATTATATTGATCGAATTTTGCTATTCCTATCATTCTGTTTCACTGATTTTTATTGTTAAAGTACATGCATTGTTTTCTGTAAAGCAACATGCTTCCAACCGTAATTATGGACTAAAGTTACAATATAGCTATAATTATCGACAATGTCACGTCACACAACCTATTATGTTAGTCTAATCATGATTTTACAATTAAATCTAAGTATCACACGAACTCAATTTTTGTCTTGTATTCGTCGTATCTTAGGTGTCAATCTTACGATTAAATATTCTATTATATTCATTATAAATAGCGCTCTTACCCATACCATACGACACACGAAAAGTATCTTATAACACAAAATTTGTCAGTTGTACTCTCGTAAACACACTATAAATATAACTATATAAACCTGTACAATTTACCAGCTTTGGGATTCCCATGCATGTTGTTGTTTGAAACTGCACGACTGAAATTTGGTTGTTGGGTGCCACATGTTTTGCCATAGTGCTGCTAACTATGCGTCCAACTGGGTGCAAACACTATAAATATATATAAGAGCCATTTATAGTCATTAGTCGCGTTATTCTGTGATATATCAGCCGATGCACTGCCTTATAAGACCTCTTCTCTTATTCCAAATCGTTCCCACATTTCATTATGCTTTTTCAGTGTTCAGCGAATTTATACTTTGTTTAACTGCATTACTCGTTAGTGGACCACTGTTTCATGCACAGTTTTTTCCATATCGGTAGCTGTGGATGAATTGTTAAGAAAACATAGAAGCAGATCGAGTATGTGACTGATTTTAGTTCTTGATTTTTGTGCCATAATTTTTTTGTGTTAAATCAGTTTATGAAGTTTTATCCAATTTTACCCATTCGAACCTTCAAAGAATAGATTAACAAAATCTGTTGGGCTCCTTGGCCCTTTTTCTATTAAATTGCTGGGGTATTTTCAGGCTAATCCGTGAAACCCGACTGACATTGATGAATTTAACCGCAGTTGATAAGTTTTCAAATCTTATAAGTCGCTTTTGTTTTTACTTCATAGAATATTGTTTTGTATTTGGCATGCATACAGGAAACCCATACTGATTCGGGATATGTCGGTCTGTCTCTGCAAAGCGGAAAGCCGGCATTGCTACACAGAATATAGCTGTGTTCATTGTAGCTAGTTTCCCAGGTTACTGACGGCCTACTGGTGTACAGTCGCTGACATAGGCAAATATGAACCTTTTCCTTGACAAAAAAACGTCGAAGAAACTTTTCAGTTTGAGAGAAGTTTAAATTCCGTCCGAGAGAACGAATCAGTTTCGGATTTCTGTGTATAGTGACGGATTGCATGTCCTTGGAATGATTCTGAATTATAGAACTATCCAGGGTAAATATTATTATACGGTTTGTTTTAGTTTTTATTTAGGACTTTAGGTCATGCAAATAGAGTGAGTTCCTTTATTAGTCTTACGTTTTTTTTTCACAGCATGCATGGACTGAACATAAATTACACAATGTGACGTTAATGACATTTTAGAAGGATTTTTTGCAAAGGGTTTCGGTTCGGGCACAGCGGTTAGCCAGGTAGTCGCGAAATGTGGTAGAAATGCTTAAAAGCTGAAAAATATGAAATATTCTTCCCAGTTTTTATGGAAAATCATACCACTCCTAAGCCTAATATACTCCTAAGCCTAAAATACTCCTAAGCCTTAAGCCTAAGGCGGACTTGGGGAAAGCCTAAGTACTTTCCATGTAACCTACCTAAGATTATGGGAACCCCGGCACCTTGTAGTTGTTTTAGTTGTTTTAGTAGAATGTCTCCGTGTTTGAGAAGCAATCCTCTACCGCAGTTAATGTCTTTACAGGGTATTCATTTTTTCAAAATCAGTAATAAAATTGAACTACTTGCTAAAACGCGCCAGGGGTAATGCGGATTATAATGTGTAAACGAGGGTTTGTGAGGGGTAATTGGGGCACGCTCCACCATATGATTACTTCTGGTATGTACGAAGGTTTTGTAGAGATCTGACATTAGAAAGGATTCCTTTTGTGGAATTAGCTTAAAGCGTTACCTTTCGAGTAGGAAGGCACGGCGGATACCTTTAGGATTTAGGGTGCTGTCGTATATGTTTACCATATAATATATGTTCTTGTCCGTGCACGGTGCATGATCGTTGATAACAATCAAATAATGTAACTGATAGCTACACAAAGTTCACGTTCACACGCTATTTAGGCGCTCTTCTTATTCATTTGACGCACGTTTGCCGCGCGCGCATACGCTATTCACGTTATCATGATATCTTTTACGCATTTTTACACACATTTTGATACGGCGCTCGCATTGTAATCTGGAAAAAATGATATATATGTATA